TTTCTAGTACTTCGAAGTGTCTAGTCGGTGTCATTTATAGGAAGCCAACTGCCGACATTGAGTACGATAGTCGTATGCTGGAAGGACTATCCCATTCTACTCGTCTCGGTTTCACACACATCCTGATTCTAGGGGACTTTAATCTCCCTAAAGTCAACTTCGCGGAACACACGTACACTGAAGGCGACAAGTCAACTGAAGCTCGGTTCTTCAACCTCATCGATGACTTGGGCTTATATGAAAATGTGAGGTCGGCAACACGTTGGAGAAACAGTCAGGCACCATCGCGCTTAGACTGTGTACTCACAAACGAAGAATTTCTAGTTGACAACCTCTCAATCTTGACTCCCCTGAGAAAAAGCGATCATGACGTCATAGCCTTCAGTTTTGTCAGCAAAACTAAGCTAAGACACCCCACCAATAACTTGCGTTGGAATTTTAAACGGTTGAATGTGCCAGCTCCACACGACTATCTACAGCAGATGGATTGGAATATTCACCCTCAACTCGATGTGGATGGTCATTTAGACTTCTTACTGCACACCCTCTTATGTGCTACAAACCATTCAGTTCCTCAAACGGTTCCCAAAAGCTGCAAGCCACCTACAATAATCAAGAGCCGTACTCTTCGCCTGCTAAGCCGCAAAAGGCACTGTTGGGCGGAATACAAACGAACTGACAACAACGGAGCGTCCAGGCAATATAAACATATAAGGGACATATGTACGAAGGCTATAAGAGAACACAGGCTTCGGTACCAGACAAAGCTTATGGACAAATTTACCTCTAATCCTAGAAGCTTATCCCGTTATGCAGCCTCTCTTCGTCAAGCCAAAACTGGAGTTTCTTAACTGCTAGATTTTAACGGCCCGACCAACAACGATGGCGACGCCGCTAACCTTCTGGCTGAACATTACTCCCGACATAAACTTTACTGATGACAGTTTCATCTGCGATTCCATAGGACTTTCCGAAGTGAACCTAAGCGCTTACTTGGTGTTCCGGAAATTGCAGCACTTAAGACTAGACACTTCTCCTGGCCCGGAGGTGGTCCATCCTGCCATACTGAGAGAAGCAACCTCAATCCTGGCAATGCCGCTTAGCGTGATGTTCTCACACTCACTAAGCCGAGGCAAACTACCGGAAAATTGGAAGTTGGCTCACTTCACACCAATTTTCAAAGGAGGTCGACGCAATGAACCTTCAAGTCATTGGCCGGTGGCTCTTCTGTCATTACCTTCAAAGATCATGGAGTCCCTGATATGCGACGGTTTAAACGACTATCTACTGTTCTTAAATTTCTTCTCAACCCAACAGCATGGTTTCAGGAAGATTACTCTTGTATAACCAACCTTCCGACTGCGGTTGACAGATGGACAAGCATCCTCGACCGCAAGGGAAAGGCTGACATCATATACCTAGATTTCCCAAAAGCTTTTAATAAGGTTAACCATTTATGTCTTATCAATAAGCTCAAACGACTAGGTATCAGACCACCTCTAATCGATTTGCTTACTTCATACATGAAAAATCGACACTTTAAGGTTAGGGTTAATTTCACTTTGTCTCAGGCTATGGAATGTCCTAGTAAGGTTCCCCAGGGCTCAGTACTAGGGCCTCTTCTCTTCTTGATCTACATAAAGGATCTTCCTCAACAGGTAACGTCAGAATTGTTACTCTTTGCCGGTGATGTTAAACTTTGGAGAGATACGCAATCAAGACGATATGAAGGCACTTCAGGAGGATCTGACTCGACTTCAAAGTTGGGCAGACGATAACGGACTTACCTTTAACACTTCAAAGTGTAAAGTAGTCCATCTGCGACATGTCGCAAACCACAGTTACAACTTAGGAAACTCCTCTCTAGTAGTATCCCAAGTCCTGGTGCCCCATGATTTAAAGTCTTACGCTAACTGTGACAAAAATGCCTTCCGAGCAAACCTTGCACTGGTAACGTTGAAGCGCATTTTTGGACAGTTCGACGGAAAAACTTTCCATATAATCTTCAATAGTTTCATCCGTCCTCACTTAGAGTACGGAAACATAGTACTTCCCCCCTCAGTCCAAAAGGATAAGGACACTTTGGAGAGTATCCGACGGCGAGCCACAAAATCAGTTCGAGGACTCAAATCTAAACCTTACGAAGAGCGCCTCCATTCACTAGACCTTTACCCATTACAGTATAGGCGTCTTAGAGGTGATCTATTAATGGCTTATAGTATTCTCAACACTTCTGGACATCCTCTTAAACACCTACTTAAGCTTAGTTCCAACACTAACCTAAGGGGTAACACCCAAAAACCAGAGACACTGTAACAGCTCAGGTTGGTTGGTTAAGAGTTGACCCCAAACAACCAAGCTTATGCCAAAACAGTATTGTCCAAGTATTCATTCACTTCCTTATTTTTTATGAGCGCTTTATTCCCTATTATCTTATATTGAATGTTGAGAGCCTTTGTTTGTCTGAACAGATAATCCCACGCTCCACTGTGACTGCGCGAAGATCGAAATAAAGACCTATTCACTACTTGTCTGGTTTCTTCTGTCAATATCACGTCGGGCTCACCAGTTTTGTGCCTCAAGGTAACCCTCGTGCTATTGACAGAAGAAACCAGACAAGTAGTGAATAGGTCTTTATTTCGATCTTCGCGCAGTCACAGTGGAGCGTGGGATTATCTGTTCAGACAAACAAAGGCTCTCAACATTCAATATAAGATAATAGGGAGGCAAAACGGAATGTAGACATAACTTTTATTCCTTAAGAGTTGTCAAATGCTGGAACTCGCTGCCGGCCGAGCTAGTCCAAGAGACTTCCCAGGAGTCCTTCAAGAGGCAAACTTGACCTATTCTTAAGGACCAAGGACAGCATCACACTATGATTTACCAATTTTTTCCTCTTTTATTGTTAACATACCTAGGATTTGTTGATCCCCTGCTACTAGACACGGAAGCCTGTTCTTCTATTCCGTCCACGACCATTTGAACCGTTTGAACCATTTGAAGTATTGATGACTCGGTATGAAAACCTGTACGCCACGGGTATTTTGTTTGTTCTTGGCTTCTCCACTCGCCTGCTATGTCCCCTGGGATGTCCCAATCTAGAGGAAAGAAAAAGAGAGAATAAGTTAGGTCCAAAATCATTTCTCAGTATTCTGTACATCAAAATTAGATCCCCTTAATCTGAGATAGGACAGAGTAAAGAGGTTCAGCTTTTGAAGCCGTTCTTTGTACGGTAAACCCCGGAGTTCTGGAATCGCACGGATAGCTTCCCACTGTACCTTTTCTAGGATATCCGAGTCACCTTTTAAGCAGAGGCTTGCAGCCTGAAGGCAGTTCTCGAGCTTCGTTCTCAACAAGGATGTGTATACTGTGATGAACATTGTAGTATCTAACTTTGTGAATGTCCGTTTTAAAGCCCAAAGGGTTCGAAACCTCCTAGGACCATGACTCACTGTCACCCCTAGATCCTTATGAGACCGGACCACGGGTAATGGCACTTCCCCTATGTTGTACCTATTAACCTTTGAATCCCCAAAGTGCATGTAGACACACTTTTCCGAGTTGATAGGCATCAGCCACTCTTTAGAACAGTTAATCATATTATTTAAGTCTGCCTGAAGAGCACATGCGTCTGTGTCTCCAGTTATTACTCCCCAGATCTTTACATCATCAGCGTATAATAACATTGGAGATTATACTATAATTGGAAGATCATTAAAGTAAAGGACCTAGAACGGTGCCTTGAGGTACTGGTCTCCAGACGGAGCGCTTGAAATTTATTCTTACTTTCTGTCGACGACCTACTAGGAAATCCTTAAGCCATTTTAAAAGTGGTTCGGCAATACCAAGGTTTTCCAACTTCAATAGCAGTCTATTAGTTGGCACCTTGTCAAAGACCTTACTGAAGTCTATGTAGACAACGTCCACTGAGTTTCTGTTGTCTAGCGCCTTTATTCAATATTCATTTGCTGTAAGGAGGTTTGTCGTACAAGATAGACCCTTTCTAAAACCATGTTGTTCTATATTTATCAAGTTATAGGTTTCCATAAATGCCATTGTGGACTATTCTTTCCAATATTTTAACTACAACGCTGGTGAGGCTTACTGGTCTGTAGTTCGATGGAAGTTGTCTTGGTCCTGTTTTATGTATGGGAGTGACGATCGCGTCCTTCCAGTCCATCGGTAACACACCTTGGTCGAGTGACATATTGAATATCACAGTCAGTGGGGCCGCGATATATTGTGCAATATGTCTCAAGATTTTGAGGTGTAGTTCATCTGGTCCTGTTGACTTCTCCATGTTTAAGATGCTAAGAGACTTGAGCCAATCGTCTTGATCGAAGTCCACGATGAGCAGGTGTTTTTCGACTTTTTATTTTGGTCTGGTTCTTTGTCAGAGAGAGGTTCCTGAGTGAAAACCGCCCCAAAATAGTCAGCCATAGCCTCTCCTTTTTTCTGATCTTCCTATAACGTTTCAGATTGACTCCCTTCTTTAATTTGGTTGGGAATCCAATGATGCATCCTTTTTCTGTAGTTTATGTACGAGAATATTCTCTTGGGCTGTTTGAGTGCAGGTTGTGCCAGCTGCATTTCATATTTTCTTTGAGCTTCACGAATTTTTGTTATACACTCGTTTCTTATCGATCTGTAGCGTTCCATCGCACCTGCTGTGACGAGGCGGATGGCAATATCCCGACATTTCTTCTTTTGTCTTAGTTGACGTCGAATATCCCAGTCTGTCCAGCTATGGCAGTGCTCCTATGTCTTTGAAACTGTCCAGGGTATGTATAGTTGAGTTACTCGATTGTATAACTGCCTGAAAAGAGTTCATGCCTCTTGTACTGATGCTCTTGAGTCAAATTCCCAGTTTTCAGTCGATGCTGCGGAATTGGTTGTCTCCATATCTGTTACGGGAGAACTGAAGACATTTGGCGGATTAAAACCTTTTATTGTACATTAATAATTTACTGTGCTTTTGGATGTAATTGTTTTACTTAACTTTTGAACTTGTTTGTTTATATCATTACTTCGGACATTTTGGTTTGTCTTTGGTTTGGTATTTTGGTGCTCTCTTTGTCTTTGGTTTGGTATTTGGGAGTTTTGCTCCGGGAACCTACAAAATTGAAGGTTTGTTTTGTAATTGTTATAATTATTGTTATTAGAACGACATTTGGTCGATTACTTGTGAATTACGAATACATTTGGTATCTAAATTGGGACTTGGTTCTGTTGTTAATTTGGGTTCGTAATTTGCGAGTAGATCGATAGTCCGTACTTCAATAACTGGAACGAGCAAAACTTGGACGTAACATAAAGTTCTTCAATTATTGGTTCTGTGTTCATACCTTGGATTTTCTGGATATTTTGGGTCCAAATTCCTGGTCTTATTGGTCGATTTCGTTTGGATTAATTCGGATTTGTTTTGGTAATTGATTATTTGGAACAACAAATACGATGGAAACACGGAGCAAAAGGCTGAAGGAAAATGACGAAATGGATGGTAAAATTCCTAAAGCTGTTTGTGGTATGTCTGATGTTAATGATGATAAATGTGATAATGTTAGTCTTAATAGTATGTCCTCTAGCCAGCTAAGTACCTCTAGATTAAAATTAGATAAAGCATTACTGAGGAAAAGGAATTTAGAGAAGAGACTCGAATTAGAACGGCAACTTAAGATGTTAGATCTACAAGAAGAGGTTGATATCGCTGAACTAGAATGCAAGGCTATCGAGGACGATGAACGATTACCCGTAGATAAATGTGGGATAAATGCTAAAGTGGAAAATTATTTGGATTGTGATACTGGGTGTAATAATCACTCAGGGGAGGTATGTAACATCTCAAATGTCGATTGGGTCGGTGAGCTGAAGGACACGTTACATACAATGGTTAGTAACATGGTTTTACCTAAGATCGATATGATGTACTTTGATGGGCAACCGGGTCAGTATTACCGTTTTATTAGTCAGTTTAATAGCCTTATAGAAAGTAAATTGTCAGATAAGGGCCAATTGTTGTCGTATTTGTTATATTATTGCAAGGGAAAGGCCAGAACAGCAATTGAATCTTGCGTTTCTCTGCCCAGTGATTTGGGCTATGATAGGGCTAAACGAATTTTGTATGATTTATTTGGTAAAGAACATCTTGTTGCACGAGAACTAATTATTGAGTTATTAAACCATAAACCTGTCGGAGGATCGGCTGACGTATTAACTGACTTTGCGATTAAGTTGCGTAATGTATGTATAACGTTGAAGCAAATGGGATATATGTCTGACGTTAATTCTACGGCTAATTTGGAGGTAATAGTTTCACGCCTACCACTAGAATTGCAGAATAAGTGGGTGGAAGTCGCCGATAAGATCATGATGCATGGGAAGGAGCCGAGCTTTGAAGAATTTGTGGTCTTTGTAGAAGAGAGGGCCAGAATTCCCCGAACCCGTTATGGTAGATTAGTACAGTGTAACTCAAGGTTCGGTAAAAGGAATTCTGAAGGCCAAGCTGATAGATCACGCTTTCATGCAATTAGACGAGACCCAAATAGCTCAGTCAAGGTATCACGTTGTGAAATCTGCGAAGGTGATCATGAGGTGATAAATTGTCCAAGGTTAGCAAAAATGAATGTAAGAGAAAGGAGGCAGGAGGTAAGAAAATGTGGTCTATGTTACTTATGTTTGAGGAAAGGTCACATAGCTATGACATGCAACTCAGGCATCAAGTGCGACGTTGAGGATTGCAAGGTTAGACATAATTCATTATTGCATATTGGTGGTATTGATAACCATGTGGTAAACCTAGCTAAGGATTGGAACTCTTCAAAGGTTTGTTTGGGGATCGTTCCAATCAGACTATACGGTCCCAAAGGATGTTTAGAAACATATGCACTTCTAGATAGTGGTTCGGACACTTCTCTTGTATGTGAAGAATTAATTAATCAGTTGGGTATTAAAGGTAAAGAGACTTCGATAACCTCGAATTTAACAACCTTGAGGAATCCATATGGTGCTTTGTAAGATTTTCTAGTACTTCGAAGTGTCTAGTCGGTGTCATTTATAGGAAGCCAACTGCCGACATTGAGTACGATAGTCGTATGCTGGAAGGACTATCCCATTCTACTCGTCTCGGTTTCACACACATCCTGATTCTAGGGGACTTTAATCTCCCTAAAGTCAACTTCGCGGAACACACGTACACTGAAGGCGACAAGTCAACTGAAGCTCGGTTCTTCAACCTCATCGATGACTTGGGCTTATATGAAAATGTGAGGTCGGCAACACGTTGGAGAAACAGTCAGGCACCATCGCGCTTAGACTGTGTACTCACAAACGAAGAATTTCTAGTTGACAACCTCTCAATCTTGACTCCCCTGAGAAAAAGCGATCATGACGTCATAGCCTTCAGTTTTGTCAGCAAAACTAAGCTAAGACACCCCACCAATAACTTGCGTTGGAATTTTAAACGGTTGAATGTGCCAGCTCCACACGACTATCTACAGCAGATGGATTGGAATATTCACCCTCAACTCGATGTGGACGGTCATTTAGACTTCTTACTGCACACGCTCTTATGTGCTACAAACCATTCAGTTCCTCAAACGGTTCCCAAAAGCTGCAAGCCACCTACAATAATCAAGAGCCGTACTCTTCGCCTGCTAAGCCGCAAAAGGCACTGTTGGGCGGAATACAAACGAACTGACAACAACGGAGCGTCCAGGCAATATAAACATATAAGGGACATATGTACGAAGGCTATAAGAGAACACAGGCTTCGGTACCAGACAAAGCTTATGGACAAATTTACCTCTAATCCTAGAAGCTTATCCCGTTATGCAGCCTCTCTTCGTCAAGCCAAAACTGGAGTTTCTTAACTGCTAGATTTTAACGGCCCGACCAACAACGATGGCGACGCCGCTAACCTTCTGGCTGAACATTACTCCCGACATAAACTTTACTGATGACAGTTTCATCTGCGATTCCATAGGACTTTCCGAAGTGAACCTAAGCGCTTACTTGGTGTTCCGGAAATTGCAGCACTTAAGACTAGACACTTCTCCTGGCCCGGAGGTGGTCCATCCTGCCATACTGAGAGAAGCAACCTCAATCCTGGCAATGCCGCTTAGCGTGATGTTCTCACACTCACTAAGCCGAGGCAAACTACCGGAAAATTGGAAGTTGGCTCACTTCACACCAATTTTCAAAGGAGGTCGACGCAATGAACCTTCAAGTCATTGGCCGGTGGCTCTTCTGTCATTACCTTCAAAGATCATGGAGTCCCTGATATGCGACGGTTTAAACGACTATCTACTGTTCTTAAATTTCTTCTCAACCCAACAGCATGGTTTCAGGAAGATTACTCTTGTATAACCAACCTTCCGACTGCGGTTGACAGATGGACAAGCATCCTCGACCGCAAGGGAAAGGCTGACATCATATACCTAGATTTCCCAAAAACTTTTAATAAGGTTAACCATTTATGTCTTATCAATAAGCTCAAACGACTAGGTATCAGACCACCTCTAATCGATTTGCTTACTTCATACATGAAAAATCGACACTTTAAGGTTAGGGTTAATTTCACTTTGTCTCAGGCTATGGAATGTCCTAGTAAGGTTCCCCAGGGCTCAGTACTAGGGCCTCTTCTCTTCTTGATCTACATAAAGGATCTTCCTCAACAGGTAACGTCAGAATTGTTACTCTTTGCCGGTGATGTTAAACTTTGGAGAGATACCCAATCAAGACGATATGAAGGCACTTCAGGAGGATCTGACTCGACTTCAAAGTTGGGCAGACGATAACGGACATACCTTTAACACTTCAAAGTGTAAAGTAGTCCATCTGCGACATGTCGCAAACCACAGTTACAACTTAGGAAACTCCTCTCTAGTAGTATCCCAAGTCCTGGTGCCCCATGATTTAAAGTCTTACGCTAACTGTGACAAAAATGCCTTCCGAGCAAACCTTGCACTGGTAACGTTGAAGCGCATTTTTGGACAGTTCGACGGAAAAACTTTCCATATAATCTTCAATAGTTTCATCCGTCCTCACTTAGAGTACGGAAACATAGTACTTCCCCCCTCAGTCCAAAAGGATAAGGACACTTTGGAGAGTATCCGACGGCGAGCCACAAAATCAGTTCGAGGACTCAAATCTAAACCTTACGAAGAGCGCCTCCATTCACTAGACCTTTACCCATTACAGTATAGGCGTCTTAGAGGTGATCTATTAATGGCTTATAGTATTCTCAACACTTCTGGACATCCTCTTAAACACCTACTTAAGCTTAGTTCGAACACTAACCTAAGGGATAACACCCAGAAACTGGAGACACTGTAACAGCTCAGGTTGGTTGGTTAAGAGTCGACCCCAAACAACCAAACATATGCCAAAACAGTATTGTCCAAGTATTCATTCACTTCCTTATTTTTTATGAGCGCTTTATTCCCTATTATCTTATATTGAATGTTGAGAGCCTTTGTTTGTCTGAACAGATAATCCCACGCTCCACTGTGACTGCGCGAAGATCGAAATAAAGACCTATTCACTACTTGTCTGGTTTCTTCTGTCAATATCACGTCGGGCTCACCAGTTTTGTGCCTCAAGGTAACCCTCGTGCTATTGACAGAAGAAACCAGACAAGTAGTGAATAGGTCTTTATTTCGATCTTCGCGCAGTCACAGTGGAGCGTGGGATTATCTGTTCAGACAAACAAAGGCTCTCAACATTCAATATAAGATAATAGGGAGGCAAAACGGAATGTAGACATAACTTTTATTCCTTAAGAGTTGTCAAATGCTGGAACTCGCTGCCGGCCGAGCTAGTCCAAGAGACTTCCCAGGAGTCCTTCAAGAGGCAAACTTGACCTATTCTTAAGGACCAAGGACAGCATCACACTATGATTTACCAATTTTTTCCTCTTTTATTGTTAACATACCTAGGATTTGTTGATCCCCTGCTACTAGACCGGAAGCCTGTTCTTCTATTCCGTCCACGACCATTTGAACCGTTTGAACCATTTGAAGTATTGATGACTCGGTATGAAAACCTGTACGCCACGGGTATTTTGTTTGTTCTTGGCTTCTCCACTCGCCTGCTATGTCCCCTGGGATGTCCCAATCTAGAGGAAAGAAAAAGAGAGAATAAGTTAGGTCCAAAATCATTTCTCAGTATTCTGTACATCAAAATTAGATCCCCTTAATCTGAGATAGGACAGAGTAAAGAGGTTCAGCTTTTGAAGCCGTTCTTTGTACGGTAAACCCCGGAGTTCTGGAATCGCACGGATAGCTTCCCACTGTACCTTTTCTAGGATATCCGAGTCACCTTTTAAGCAGAGGCTTGCAGCCTGAAGGCAGTTCTCGAGCTTCGTTCTCAACAAGGATGTGTATACTGTGATGAACATTGTAGTATCTAACTTTGTGAATGTCCGTTTTAAAGCCCAAAGGGTTCGAAACCTCCTAGGACCATGACTCACTGTCACCCCTAGATCCTTATGAGACCGGACCACGGGTAATGGCACTTCCCCTATGTTGTACCTATTAACCTTTGAATCCCCAAAGTGCATGTAGACACACTTTTCCGAGTTGATAGGCATCAGCCACTCTTTAGAACAGTTAATCATATTATTTAAGTCTGCCTGAAGAGCACATGCGTCTGTGTCTCCAGTTATTACTCCCCAGATCTTTACATCATCAGCGTATAATAACATTGGAGATTATACTATAATTGGAAGATCATTAAAGTAAAGGACCTAGAACGGTGCCTTGAGGTACTGGTCTCCAGACGGAGCGCTTGAAATTTATTCTTACTTTCTGTCGACGACCTACTAGGAAATCCTTAAGCCATTTTAAAAGTGGTTCGGCAATACCAAGGTTTTCCAACTTCAATAGCAGTCTATTAGTTGGCACCTTGTCAAAGACCTTACTGAAGTCTATGTAGACAACGTCCACTGAGTTTCTGTTGTCTAGCGCCTTTATTCAATATTCATTTGCTGTAAGGAGGTTTGTCGTACAAGATAGACCCTTTCTAAAACCATGTTGTTCTATATTTATCAAGTTATAGGTTTCCATAAATGCCATTGTGGACTATTCTTTCCAATATTTTAACTACAACGCTGGTGAGGCTTACTGGTCTGTAGTTCGATGGAAGTTGTCTTGGTCCTGTTTTATGTATGGGAGTGACGATCGCGTCCTTCCAGTCCATCGGTAACACACCTTGGTCGAGTGACATATTGAATATCACAGTCAGTGGGGCCGCGATATATTGTGCAATATGTCTCAAGATTTTGAGGTGTAGTTCATCTGGTCCTGTTGACTTCTCCATGTTTAAGATGCTAAGAGACTTGAGCCAATCGTCTTGATCGAAGTCCACGATGAGCAGGTGTTTTTCGACTTTTTATTTTGGTCTGGTTCTTTGTCAGAGAGAGGTTCCTGAGTGAAAACCGCCCCAAAATAGTCAGCCATAGCCTCTCCTTTTTTCTGATCTTCCTATAACGTTTCAGATTGACTCCCTTCTTTAATTTGGTTGGGAATCCAATGATGCATCCTTTTTCTGTAGTTTATGTACGAGAATATTCTCTTGGGCTGTTTGAGTGCAGGTTGTGCCAGCTGCATTTCATATTTTCTTTGAGCTTCACGAATTTTTGTTATACACTCGTTTCTTATCGATCTGTAGCGTTCCATCGCACCTGCTGTGACGAGGCGGATGGCAATATCCCGACATTTCTTCTTTTGTCTTAGTTGACGTCGAATATCCCAGTCTGTCCAGCTATGGCAGTGCTCCTATGTCTTTGAAACTGTCCAGGGTATGTATAGTTGAGTTACTCGATTGTATAACTGCCTGAAAAGAGTTCATGCCTCTTGTACTGATGCTCTTGAGTCAAATTCCCAGTTTTCAGTCGATGCTGCGGAATTGGTTGTCTCCATATCTGTTACGGGAGAACTGAAGACATTTGGCGGATTAAAACCTTTTATTGTACATTAATAATTTACTGTGCTTTTGGATGTAATTGTTTTACTTAACTTTTGAACTTGTTTGTTTATATCATTACTTCGGACATTTTGGTTTGTCTTTGGTTTGGTATTTTGGTGCTCTCTTTGTCTTTGGTTTGGTATTTGGGAGTTTTGCTCCGGGAACCTACAAAATTGAAGGTTTGTTTTGTAATTGTTATAATTATTGTTATTAGAACGACATTTGGTCGATTACTTGTGAATTACGAATACATTTGGTATCTAAATTGGGACTTGGTTCTGTTGTTAATTTGGGTTCGTAATTTGCGAGTAGATCGATAGTCCGTACTTCAATAACTGGAACGAGCAAAACTTGGACGTAACATAAAGTTCTTCAATTATTGGTTCTGTGTTCATACCTTGGATTTTCTGGATATTTTGGGTCCAAATTCCTGGTCTTATTGGTCGATTTCGTTTGGATTAATTCGGATTTGTTTTGGTAATTGATTATTTGGAACAACAAATACGATGGAAACACGGAGCAAAAGGCTGAAGGAAAATGACGAAATGGATGGTAAAATTCCTAAAGCTGTTTGTGGTATGTCTGATGTTAATGATGATAAATGTGATAATGTTAGTCTTAATAGTATGTCCTCTAGCCAGCTAAGTACCTCTAGATTAAAATTAGATAAAGCATTACTGAGGAAAAGGAATTTAGAGAAGAGACTCGAATTAGAACGGCAACTTAAGATGTTAGATCTACAAGAAGAGGTTGATATCGCTGAACTAGAATGCAAGGCTATCGAGGACGATGAACGATTACCCGTAGATAAATGTGGGATAAATGCTAAAGTGGAAAATTATTTGGATTGTGATACTGGGTGTAATAATCACTCAGGGGAGGTATGTAACATCTCAAATGTCGATTGGGTCGGTGAGCTGAAGGACACGTTACATACAATGGTTAGTAACATGGTTTTACCTAAGATCGATATGATGTACTTTGATGGGCAACCGGGTCAGTATTACCGTTTTATTAGTCAGTTTAATAGCCTTATAGAAAGTAAATTGTCAGATAAGGGCCAATTGTTGTCGTATTTGTTATATTATTGCAAGGGAAAGGCCAGAACAGCAATTGAATCTTGCGTTTCTCTGCCCAGTGATTTGGGCTATGATAGGGCTAAACGAATTTTGTATGATTTATTTGGTAAAGAACATCTTGTTGCACGAGAACTAATTATTGAGTTATTAAACCATAAACCTGTCGGAGGATCGGCTGACGTATTAACTGACTTTGCGATTAAGTTGCGTAATGTATGTATAACGTTGAAGCAAATGGGATATATGTCTGACGTTAATTCTACGGCTAATTTGGAGGTAATAGTTTCACGCCTACCACTAGAATTGCAGAATAAGTGGGTGGAAGTCGCCGATAAGATCATGATGCATGGGAAGGAGCCGAGCTTTGAAGAATTTGTGGTCTTTGTAGAAGAGAGGGCCAGAATTCCCCGAACCCGTTATGGTAGATTAGTACAGTGTAACTCAAGGTTCGGTAAAAGGAATTCTGAAGGCCAAGCTGATAGATCACGCTTTCATGCAATTAGACGAGACCCAAATAGCTCAGTCAAGGTATCACGTTGTGAAATCTGCGAAGGTGATCATGAGGTGATAAATTGTCCAAGGTTAGCAAAAATGAATGTAAGAGAAAGGAGGCAGGAGGTAAGAAAATGTGGTCTATGTTACTTATGTTTGAGGAAAGGTCACATAGCTATGACATGCAACTCAGGCATCAAGTGCGACGTTGAGGATTGCAAGGTTAGACATAATTCATTATTGCATATTGGTGGTATTGATAACCATGTGGTAAACCTAGCTAAGGATTGGAACTCTTCAAAGGTTTGTTTGGGGATCGTTCCAATCAGACTATACGGTCCCAAAGGATGTTTAGAAACATATGCACTTCTAGATAGTGGTTCGGACACTTCTCTTGTATGTGAAGAATTAATTAATCAGTTGGGTATTAAAGGTAAAGAGACTTCGATAAGGGTGGCGACTGTCAACGGAACTACCAATTGTGAATGCTTGGAGGTAAATTTAGAGGTGTTTTCATTAGATGAACAAGGTTCTGTAAGGATCAACAAAGTTTACACGACCAAGAAACTTCCGATCGATCATGCAGCACCTTTAACCGAACTCCAACTGAAACGGTGGAAACATCTTAAGGACATAACCCTTCCGAGATTGCAAAGTAATTTTGTAGGAATATTGATTGGGTGTGATGCTCCGGATGCACATTGGGTCCTGGAACAACGTCTGGGGGACAGGAAGCATCCGTTTGCTGTGCGTACTCATCTTGGTTGGATGATTATAGGTCCTAAGGGAGTATCAAGGTCTCTACATCAAGTTCAGTTGTGTCATTGTTCCACCAATGATATTTTGCGAGATTTAGGAAGATTATATGATCATGAGTTCGAGGATACAGATACGTTTCGTAATGGATATTCTGTTGAAGATAAAAAAGCTCTAGAAATAGTTAGCAGTTCGTTTAGATTGGAGGGTGGTCATTTCCAAGTTGGTCTACCATGGAAGTATGATAAGCCAAGACTACCGAAAAATTTGGAACTGGCTGAACGCAGACTAGAATCCTTAAGGAGGAGGTTTATGAAAGATAACAGTCTTTTGGAGAAATATCAAGTTGTGATGAATAAACATTTAAGAAAGGGCTACATCATTGAAGCTAGTGAAGAGGGATTTGACTATGATGCTGTTTGTTGGTATATTCCTCATCATCCTGTTATCAACCCTAAAAGGCCTGGAAAATTGAGAATTGTTTTTGATTGTGCGGCTGTCTATCAAGGTTGTTCTCTTAATGACCAGCTTTTGAGAGGACCGAATACTGTAAATAGTTTAATTGGTGTACTTCGATTCAGATTAGGTAACGTAGCATTAGCTGCTGATATCGAAGAGATGTTTCTTCAAGTAAAGATTCCGAGACAAGACAGGGGAGCATTTCGTCTATTGTGGTGGGAAGACGGTGATATACGACGAACGGCTAAGGCAAGAGCAGCCTCCTCGAAGGTCCAAACTATACCGCGCTTGGAACTTACGGCAGCAGTTTTGACAGCTCGCATGGGATCCCAGCTGCAGTCAGAATTAGATATTAAGTTTGCAGAGGTTAATTTTTGGACGGATTCTATGATTGTCTTACACTATATTAGAAATGAGAAAAGCCAGTTTAAAACATTCATAGCAAATCGAATTTCGACTATTCAGAGTCTTACTAAGGTGGACCAATCGAGATTCGTACCTTCTAAAGAAAACATATCAGACTTTGCATCCAGAGGGGTCAAGTTTGACATTGATGATGTCAAGGTATGGGAGGAGGGTCCACGTTTTCTCAAGAAGCCGAAGGAGTGTTGGCCTGCCGCTGATGTACAAGGTCCTGACCCTCATCTATTGGAAATAAAGAAAGCAATGTCGGCGCATGTAATGGCTGAAAAATCCACTGTTGATCAACTTAATAATTATTATTCAGATTGGACTAGATTACTTAAGGCTGTTGCGTGGTTAACCCGATTTAAGCGATATTTACTGGTAATGCGTTCTGGTAGAACTGATCTGTCTCAACAGGTGGGTATGCTTAGATTTGATGGGTTAAATTTCGCTTGTTTAGATTTAATTCTATATGTCCAACGCATAGTATTTCGGAAAGAGATTGAAATGTTATCGTCTGATACCAGTAGTAAGGTGAAGATAACGAATTCACCGTTACGAACTTTAAATCCAATGATGATTGGAAGATGGGCTTTATGTTCTGCGGACTCAAATAGTTGTTTGTGTGTGATTATGCAATGGTGCCTGAAGCCATGTGTTATGGTTATTCATTTTCTAAAAGAACTAGAAGGGTCCAATGTTACGATTTGGAATCAGAATAGAGAGTTCGCAGTAAATAAAGGAATTAATGGATTGGTCCTCTATACGTGTTTATATATCCATATTTACGTTAGTGTATATGAGCTTCTATGGAGGATGAAGCATTTTGTTAGATGGTTGATATTGCGATTGTTTATGTTGGCGCAAATATTTTGGAAACGTTTGTCTAAGGAATATGTTTCATTGTTGCAACTTAGACACAAATGGACTCAACCAGAGATGAACATAGGAGAGAGTAACTTGGTGGCGACATGTACTGGGTTTTTAGAGAAAGACAAATGGTTATTAGGTCTGGTAATGAAAGTGACACCTAATAGTGATAGGTTAAGACCGATGGAGTTGCGGACAAGCGTAGGGATCTTGGTAAGAGATATTAGAAAACTGCGTCTAGAAGTTGTAGATATTAGGTAGCTACTCGGATCCCTAGGCGTACTGGTGTAAGTCCTAGGGATCACGAGATTGTTGGTATATTGAGTGTTTGTTGTTGATTGTTTGTGATGCATATACTTGGATTCTTGTTGTTTATTTATTTGTCTGAAAAGAACCAAGGTTCTTTTGGTCGGGAGTGTTACGGGAGAACTGAAGACATTTGGCGGATTAAAACCTTTTATTGTACATTAATAATTTACTGTGCTTTTGGATGTAATTGTTTTACTTAACTTTTGAACTTGTTTGTTTATATCATTACTTCGGACATTTTGGTTTGTCTTTGGTTTGGTATTTTGGTGCTCTCTTTGTCTTTGGTTTGGTATTTGGGAGTTTTGCTCCGGGAACCTACAAAATTGAAGGTTTGTTTTGTAATTGTTATAATTATTGTTATTAGAACGACATTTGGTCGATTACTTGTGAATTACGAATACATTTGGTATCTAAATTGGGACTTGGTTCTGTTGTTAATTTGGGTTCGTAATTTGCGAGTAGATCGATAGTCCGTACTTCAATAACTGGAACGAGCAAAACTTGGACGTAACATAAAGTTCTTCAATTATTGGTTCTGTGTTCTTACCTTGGATTTTCCGGATATTTTGGGTCCAAATTCCTGGTCTTATTGGTCGATTTCGTTTGGATTAATTCGGATTTGTTTTGGTAATTGATTATTTGGAACAACAAATACGATGGAAACACGGAGCAAAAGGCTGAAGGAAAATGACGAAATGGATGGTAAAATTCCTAAAGCTGTTTGTGGTATGTCTGATGTTAATGATGATAAATGTGATAATGTTAGTCTTAATAGTATGTCCTCTAGCCAGCTAAGTACCTCTAGATTAAAATTAGATAAAGCATTACTGAGGAAAAGGAATTTAGAGAAGAGACTTGAATTAGAACGGCAACTTAAGATGTTAGATCTACAAGAAGAGGTTGATATCGCTGAACTAGAATGCAAGGCTATCGAGGACGATGAACGATTACCCGTAGATAAATGTGGGATAAATGCTAAAGTGGAAAATTATTTGGATTGTGATACTGGGTGTAATAATCACTCAGGGGAGGTATGTAACATCTCAAATGTCGATTGGGTCGGTGAGCTGAAGGACACGTTACATACAATGGTTAGTAACATGGTTTTACCTAAGATCGATATGATGTACTTTGATGGGCAGCCGGGTCAGTATTACCGTTTTATTAGTCAGTTTAATAGCCTTATAGAAAGTAAATTGTCAGATAAGGGCCAATTGTTGTCGTATTTGTTATATTATTGCAAGGGAAAGGCCAGAACAGCAATTGAATCTTGCGTTTCTTTGCCCAGTCATTTGGGCTATGATAGGGCTAAACGAATTTTGTATGATTTATTTGGTAAAGAACATCTTGTTGCACGAGAACTAATTATTGAGTTATTAAACCATAAACCTGTCGGAGGATCGGCTGACGTATTAACTGACTTTGCGATTAAGTTGCGTAATGTATGTATAACGTTGAAGCAAATGGGATATATGTCTGACGTTAATTCTACGGCTAATTTGGAGGTAATAGTTTCACGCCTACCACTAGAATTGCAGAATAAGTGGGTGGAAGTCGCCGATAAGATCATGATGCATGGGAAGGAGCCGAGCTTTGAAGAATTTGTGGTCTTTGTAGAAGAGAGGGCCAGAATTCCCCGAACCCGTTATGGTAGATTAGTACAGTGTAACTCAAGGTTCGGTAAAAGGAATTCTGAAGGCCAAGCTGATAGATCACGCTTTCATGCAATTAGACGAGACCCAAATAGCTCAGTCAAGGTATCACGTTGTGAAATCTGCGAAGGTGATCATGAGGTGACAAATTGTCCAAGGTTAGCAAAAATGAATGTAAGAGAAAGGAGGCAGGAGGTAAGAAAATGTGGTCTATGTTACTTATGTTTGAGGAAAGGTCACATAGCTATGACATGCAACTCAGGCATCAAGTGCGACGTTGAGGATTGCAAGGTTAGACATAATTCATTATTGCATATTGGTGGTATTGATAACCATGTGGTAAACCTAGCTAAGGATTGGAACTCTTCAAAGGTTTGTTTGGGGATCGTTCCAATCAGACTATACGGTCCCAAAGGATGTTTAGAAACATATGCACTTCTAGATAGTGGTTCGGACACTTCTCTTGTATGTGAAGAATTAATTAATCAGTTGGGTATTAAAGGTAAAGAGACTTCGATAAGGGTGGCGACTGTCAACGGAACTACCAATTGTGAATGCTTGGAGGTAAATTTAGAGGTGTTTTCATTAGATGAACAAGGTTCTGTAAGGATCAACAAAGTTTACACGACCAAGAAACTTCCGATCGATCATGCAGCACCTTTAACCGAACTCCAACTGAAACGGTGGAAACATCTTAAGGACATAACCCTTCCGAGATTGCAAAGTAATTTTGTAGGAATATTGATTGGGTGTGATGCTCCGGATGCACATTGGGTCCTGGAACAACGTCTGGGGGACAGGAAGCATCCGTTTGCTGTGCGTACTCATCTTGGTTGGATGATTATAGGTCCTAAGGGAGTATCAAGGTCTCTACATCAAGTTCAGTTGTGTCATTGTTCCACCAATGATATTTTGCGAGATTTAGGAAGATTATATGATCATGAGTTCGAGGATACAGATACGTTTCGTAATGGATATTCTGTTGAAGATAAAAAAGCTCTAGAAATAGTTAGCAGTTCGTTTAGATTGGAGGGTGGTCATTTCCAAGTTGGTCTACCATGGAAGTATGATAAGCCAAGACTACCGAAAAATTTGGAACTGGCTGAACGCAGACTAGAATCCTTAAGGAGGAGGTTTATGAAAGATAACAGTCTTTTGGAGAAATATCAAGTTGTGATGAATAAACATTTAAGAAAGGGCTACATCATTGAAGCTAGTGAAGAGGGATTTGACTATGATGCTGTTTGTTGGTATATTCCTCATCATCCTGTTATCAACCCTAAAAGGCCTGGAAAATTGAGAATTGTTTTTGATTGTGCGGCTGTCTATCAAGGTTGTTCTCTTAATGACCAGCTTTTGAGAGGACCGAATACTGTAAATAGTTTAATTGGTGTACTTCGATTCAGATTAGGTAACGTAGCATTAGCTGCTGATATCGAAGAGATGTTTCTTCAAGTAAAGATTCCGAGACAAGACAGGGGAGCATTTCGTCTATTGTGGTGGGAAGACGGTGATATACGACGAACGGCTAAGGCAAGAGCAGCCTCCTCGAAGGTCCAAACTATACCGCGCTTGGAACTTACGGCAGCAGTTTTGACAGCTCGCATGGGATCCCAGCTGCAGTCAGAATTAGATATTAAGTTTGCAGAGGTTAATTTTTGGACGGATTCTATGATTGTCTTACACTATATTAGAAATGAGAAAAGCCAGTTTAAAACATTCATAGCAAATCGAATTTCGACTATTCAGAGTCTTACTAAGGTGGACCAATCGAGATTCGTACCTTCTAAAGAAAACATATCAGACTTTGCATCCAGAGGGGTCAAGTTTGACATTGATGATGTCAAGGTATGGAAGGAGGGTCCACGTTTTCTCAAGAAGCCGAAGGAGTGTTGGCCTGCCGCTGATGTACAAGGTCCTGACCCTCATCTATTGGAAATAAAGAAAGCAATGTCGGCGCATGTAATGGCTGAAAAATCCACTGTTGATCAACTTAATAATTATTATTCAGATTGGACTAGATTACTTAAGGCTGTTGCGTGGTTAACCCGATTTAAGCGATATTTACTGGTAATGCGTTCTGGTAGAACTGATCTGTCTCAACAGGTGGGTATGCTTAGATTTGATGGGTTAAATTTCGCTTGTTTAGATTTAATTCTATATGTCCAACGCATAGTATTTCGGAAAGAGATTGAAATGTTATCGTCTGATACCAGTAGTAAGGTGAAGATAACGAATTCACCGTTACGAACTTTAAATCCAATGATGATTGGAAGATGGGCTTTATGTTCTGCGGACTCAAATAGTTGTTTGTGTGTGATTATGCAATGGTGCCTGAAGCCATGTGTTATGGTTATTCATTTTCTAAAAGAACTAGAAGGGTCCAATGTTACGATTTGGAATCAGAATAGAGAGTTCGCAGTAAATAAAGGAATTAATGGATTGGTCCTCTATACGTGTTTATATATCCATATTTACGTTAGTGTATATGAGCTTCTATGGAGGATGATGCATTTTGTTAGATGGTTGATATTGCTGTTGTTTGTGTTGGCGCAAATATTTTGGAAACGTTTGTCTAAGGAATATGTTTCATTGTTGCAACTTGGACACAAATGGACTGAAGCAGAGATGAACATAGGAGAGAGTAACTTGGTGACGACATGTACTGGGTTTTTAGAGAAAGACAAATGGTTATTAGGTCTGGTAAGGAAAATGACACCTAATAGTAATAGGTTAAGACCGATGGAGTTGCGGACAAGCGTAGGGATCTTGGTAAGAGTTATTAGAAAACTGCGTCTAGAAGTTGTAGATATTAGGTAGCTACTCGGATCCCTAGGCGTACTGGTGTAAGTGCTAGGGATCACGAGATTGTTCCTATATTCAGTGTTTGTTGTTGATTGTTTGTGATGCATATACTTGGATTCTTGTTGTTTATTTATTTGTCTGAAAAGAACCAAGGTTCTTTTGGTCGGGAGTGTTACGGGAGAACTGAAGACATTTGGCGGATTAAAACCTTTTATTGTACATTAATAATTTACTGTGCTTTTGGATGTAATTGTTTTACTTAACTTTTGAACTTGTTTGTTTATATCATTACTTCGGACATTTTGGTTTGTCTTTGGTTTGGTATTTTGGTGCTCTCTTTGTCTTTGGTTTGGTATTTGGGAGTTTTGCTCCGGGAACCTACAAAATTGAAGGTTTGTTTTGTAATTGTTATAATTATTGTTATTAGAACGACATTTGGTCGATTACTTGTGAATTACGAATACATTTGGTATCTAAATTGGGACTTGGTTCTGTTGTTAATTTGGGTTCGTAATTTGCGAGTAGATCGATAGTCCGTACTTCAATAACTGGAACGAGCAAAACTTGGACGTAACATAAAGTTCTTCAATTATTGGTTCTGTGTTCATACCTTGGATTTTCTGGATATTTTGGGTCCAAATTCCTGGTCTTATTGGTCGATTTCGTTTGGATTAATTCGGATTTGTTTTGGTAATTGATTATTTGGAACAACAAATACGATGGAAACACGGAGCAAAAGGCTGAAGGAAAATGACGAAATGGATGGTAAAATTCCTAAAGCTGTTTGTGGTATGTCTGATGTTAATGATGATAAATGTGATAATGTTAGTCTTAATAGTATGTCCTCTAGCCAGCTAAGTACCTCTAGATTAAAATTAGATAAAGCATTACTGAGGAAAAGGAATTTAGAGAAGAGACTCGAATTAGAACGGCAACTTAAGATGTTAGATCTACAAGAAGAGGTTGATATCGCTGAACTAGAATGCAAGGCTATCGAGGACGATGAACGATTACCCGTAGATAAATGTGGGATAAATGCTAAAGTGGAAAATTATTTGGATTGTGATACTGGGTGTAATAATCACTCAGGGGAGGTATGTAACATCTCAAATGTCGATTGGGTCGGTGAGCTGAAGGACACGTTACATACAATGGTTAGTAACATGGTTTTACCTAAGATCGATATGATGTACTTTGATGGGCAACCGGGTCAGTATTACCGTTTTATTAGTCAGTTTAATAGCCTTATAGAAAGTAAATTGTCAGATAAGGGCCAATTGTTGTCGTATTTGTTATATTATTGCAAGGGAAAGGCCAGAACAGCAATTGAATCTTGCGTTTCTCTGCCCAGTGATTTGGGCTATGATAGGGCTAAACGAATTTTGTATGATTTATTTGGTAAAGAACATCTTGTTGCACGAGAACTAATTATTGAGTTATTAAACCATAAACCTGTCGGAGGATCGGCTGACGTATTAACTGACTTTGCGATTAAGTTGCGTAATGTATGTATAACGTTGAAGCAAATGGGATATATGTCTGACGTTAATTCTACGGCTAATTTGGAGGTAATAGTTTCACGCCTACCACTAGAATTGCAGAATAAGTGGGTGGAAGTCGCCGATAAGATCATGATGCATGGGAAGGAGCCGAGCTTTGAAGAATTTGTGGTCTTTGTAGAAGAGAGGGCCAGAATTCCCCGAACCCGTTATGGTAGATTAGTACAGTGTAACTCAAGGTTCGGTAAAAGGAATTCTGAAGGCCAAGCTGATAGATCACGCTTTCATGCAATTAGACGAGACCCAAATAGCTCAGTCAAGGTATCACGTTGTGAAATCTGCGAAGGTGATCATGAGGTGATAAATTGTCCAAGGTTAGCAAAAATGAATGTAAGAGAAAGGAGGCAGGAGGTAAGAAAATGTGGTCTATGTTACTTATGTTTGAGGAAAGGTCACATAGCTATGACATGCAACTCAGGCATCAAGTGCGACGTTGAGGATTGCAAGGTTAGACATAATTCATTATTGCATATTGGTGGTATTGATAACCATGTGGTAAACCTAGCTAAGGATTGGAACTCTTCAAAGGTTTGTTTGGGGATCGTTCCAATCAGACTATACGGTCCCAAAGGATGTTTAGAAACATATGCACTTCTAGATAGTGGTTCGGACACTTCTCTTGTATGTGAAGAATTAATTAATCAGTTGGGTATTAAAGGTAAAGAGACTTCGATAAGGGTGGCGACTGTCAACGGAACTACCAATTGTGAATGCTTGGAGGTAAATTTAGAGGTGTTTTCATTAGATGAACAAGGTTCTGTAAGGATCAACAAAGTTTACACGACCAAGAAACTTCCGATCGATCATGCAGCACCTTTAACCGAACTCCAACTGAAACGGTGGAAACATCTTAAGGACATAACCCTTCCGAGATTGCAAAGTAATTTTGTAGGAATATTGATTGGGTGTGATGCTCCGGATGCACATTGGGTCCTGGAACAACGTCTGGGGGACAGGAAGCATCCGTTTGCTGTGCGTACTCATCTTGGTTGGATGATTATAGGTCCTAAGGGAGTATCAAGGTCTCTACATCAAGTTCAGTTGTGTCATTGTTCCACCAATGATATTTTGCGAGATTTAGGAAGATTATATGATCATGAGTTCGAGGATACAGATACGTTTCGTAATGGATATTCTGTTGAAGATAAAAAAGCTCTAGAAATAGTTAGCAGTTCGTTTAGATTGGAGGGTGGTCATTTCCAAGTTGGTCTACCATGGAAGTATGATAAGCCAAGACTACCGAAAAATTTGGAACTGGCTGAACGCAGACTAGAATCCTTAAGGAGGAGGTTTATGAAAGATAACAGTCTTTTGGAGAAATATCAAGTTGTGATGAATAAACATTTAAGAAAGGGCTACATCATTGAAGCTAGTGAAGAGGGATTTGACTATGATGCTGTTTGTTGGTATATTCCTCATCATCCTGTTATCAACCCTAAAAGGCCTGGAAAATTGAGAATTGTTTTTGATTGTGCGGCTGTCTATCAAGGTTGTTCTCTTAATGACCAGCTTTTGAGAGGACCGAATACTGTAAATAGTTTAATTGGTGTACTTCTACGATTCAGATTAGGTAACGTAGCATTAGCTGCTGATATCGAAGAGATGTTTCTTCAAGTAAAGATTCCGAGACAAGACAGGGGAGCATTTCGTCTATTGTGGTGGGAAGACGGTGATATACGACGAACGGCTAAGGCAAGAGCAGCCTCCTCGAAGGTCCAAACTATACCGCGCTTGGAACTTACGGCAGCAGTTTTGACAGCTCGCATGGGATCCCAGCTGCAGTCAGAATTAGATATTAAGTTTGCAGAGGTTAATTTTTGGACGGATTCTATGATTGTCTTACACTATATTAGAAATGAGAAAAGCCAGTTTAAAACATTCATAGCAAATCGAATTTCGACTATTCAGAGTCTTACTAAGGTGGACCAATCGAGATTCGTACCTTCTAAAGAAAACATATCAGACTTTGCATCCAGAGGGGTCAAGTTTGACATTGATGATGTCAAGGTATGGAAGGAGGGTCCACGTTTTCTCAAGAAGCCGAAGGAGTGTTGGCCTGCCGCTGATGTACAAGGTCCTGACCCTCATCTATTGGAAATAAAGAAAGCAATGTCGGCGCATGTAATGGCTGAAAAATCCACTGTTGATCAACTTAATAATTATTATTCAGATTGGACTAGATTACTTAAGGCTGTTGCGTGGTTAACCCGATTTAAGCGATATTTACTGGTAATGCGTTCTGGTAGAACTGATCTGTCTCAACAGGTGGGTATGCTTAGATTTGATGGGTTAAATTTCGCTTGTTTAGATTTAATTCTATATGTCCAACGCATAGTATTTCGGAAAGAGATTGAAATGTTATCGTCTGATACCAGTAGTAAGGTGAAGATAACGAATTCACCGTTACGAACTTTAAATCCAATGATGATTGGAAGATGGGCTTTATGTTCTGCGGACTCAAATAGTTGTTTGTGTGTGATTATGCAATGGTGCCTGAAGCCATGTGTTATGGTTATTCATTTTCTAAAAGAACTAGAAGGGTCCAATGTTACGATTTGGAATCAGAATAGAGAGTTCGCAGTAAATAAAGGAATTAATGGATTGGTCCTCTATACGTGTTTATATATCCATATTTACGTTAGTGTATATGAGCTTCTATGGAGGATGAAGCATTTTGTTAGATGGTTGATATTGCGATTGTTTATGTTGGCGCAAATATTTTGGAAACGTTTGTCTAAGGAATATGTTTCATTGTTGCAACTTAGACACAAATGGACTCAACCAGAGATGAACATAGGAGAGAGTAACTTGGTGGCGACATGTACTGGGTTTTTAGAGAAAGACAAATGGTTATTAGGTCTGGTAATGAAAGTGACACCTAATAGTGATAGGTTAAGACCGATGGAGTTGCGGACAAGCGTAGGGATCTTGGTAAGAGATATTAGAAAACTGCGTCTAGAAGTTGTAGATATTAGATAGCTACTCGGATCCCTAGGCGTACTGGTGTAAGTCCTAGGGATCACGAGATTGTTGGTATATTGAGTGTTTGTTGTTGATTGTTTGTGATGCATATACTTGGATTCTTGTTGTTTATTTATTTGTCTGAAAAGAACCAAGGTTCTTTTGGTCGGGAGTGTTACGGGAGAACTGAAGACATTTGGCGGATTAAAACCTTTTATTGTACATTAATAATTTACTGTGCTTTTGGATGTAATTGTTTTACTTAACTTTTGAACTTGTTTGTTTATATCATTACTTCGGACATTTTGGTTTGTCTTTGGTTTGGTATTTTGGTGCTCTCTTTGTCTTTGGTTTGGTATTTGGGAGTTTTGCTCCGGGAACCTACAAAATTGAAGGTTTGTTTTGTAATTGTTATAATTATTGTTATTAGAACGACATTTGGTCGATTACTTGTGAATTACGAATACATTTGGTATCTAAATTGGGACTTGGTTCTGTTGTTAATTTGGGTTCGTAATTTGCGAGTAGATCGATAGTCCGTACTTCAATAACTGGAACGAGCAAAACTTGGACGTAACAATATCTGCCTTCCATATATCCTTTAACTGATATAATTTCACATTTGCAATGTCAAGATTAACATTTCAATGTCAAAAGCTGTATTATGTAAAATAATGATGATTAACACCAAAGCTCTCTTGTACACAAAGTGAATATATTTACCGCTTGTAAAAGTGTAGAATCAGAGACCACTAATTCTCAAAATTTTTAGCGAAAATTATTCAACAACCGCGCGCCCTTCGATTCCTGCGTGAATTCGTTGATCTCTTATTAATAACTGGAAATAACCACTTTTCAGCTACCACACTGGAATATGTAAACACTTCAGATGGTAAGAGCAGAGTCTTCACCTGGCTGGAAGATCTTAATGACAAATCTGACAACCGTAATCAAACTTAGATCGAACCGCTATATAGTAGGTCTAGCTGTCTCGACTGATTGGTCACTTCCTCATTACTTCAACCGAGACATACACACTTATTTTATTGCAAATACAGGGCTTGCAGACAAACCACTGGATCCACGTGGGGTTGCTTGCTAGGACAGCCAAAGGCAAAATTGCATATTTAAATGTCTTTCAGGTTCTATTTTCGTGATTCATACATTCAAATACTCCTATCTCGTATCCATGTCGCTTATACATATACTTGAAAGAACGAGGAACCACCGCGATTCCCATAACGCGAAGTAAGAACACCATCGCTGGTACAAGTGAAGATTTGTTAGGCTCAAAGCACGACAACCCTAATCGAGAATAAAATCAAAATATAATAATAAGAATAAAATAGCATTTATAAAAAATAGTGAGTTTTAACAAAATCAAATCTGTCTATCATACTGAGCGTAGTTCACGTTAAATTTATACAATATCGACTCAGCATTGGAATGTATCCTGTGTAGAGGCAGAATTCACTGTCGATACTGCGGTACCTAGAAAGTATTATGGATTTGTGTTAAGTCGCCCCTGCCTATGGTTTTGATATGTCTGCCTGCTGTGTAGAAAAAATATACAAGCTGAATGGACAAGAGTGTCATAAGATTCCTCTGGAAACAACCATAACAGTTCCCACTGGTATGTCCGATTCTTAAAACAGTGCCTCGACTAAGCACACGATTCTGGAAGCCAAAACTCGAGCTCATATATAAATGAAACTGCCGACCATTGCCAATAATCCAGTATCTTCTAAGGGTAAAGAGCGGTGGGTGAGTTTTGGGAAGAGAATTGGTGAAAGCATGGCTCAGCACACGTTATGGAAGAGATTTTACCGAAATCTCAGTGACCATTAGCCAAGCGGTCATCTCAAATCCGAGTTAGACACGACAAAACGTGGGATGTGGGAGGTGTCGACAGAAGATCAGCAAAAACCCGAAAGGCAACCAACATGATGGTTCACGGAATACCTGATATAGCGTGCGGTAGTTGGGTTGAAGCTCATAAATACCAGCTGCTACAGTAGCATTGTCTATCACGCAGCACAGGCTTTCACACCACTACAATAATTAGCGTGTCCAGGCTTCCTCGTCCGTTACCCCCCACGGCCACAGTCTCTGCGTCCGATGGCTTCGAATTTCAGGAACCGAAGAGACTTCACGGAGGCTGTTCAGACCTGGTGATGCTTGGAAAACGACCCCCACAGTTGCATTCTATGTGAAAGTCAACTTAGGTCGGTAGGGCAGCAACAAATAATCCCAATAAAATAGACTTTGGTGTCAGTTTACTTTGATCGCATGGAAATGGCCAACATATTTTGAACAACAATCCACTTAAATCCCAGAAGACAGATGAGGCATCAGGTAATAGGCAAACCGTTACGTTACGTTATATCAACGCAAGAGGACCAAGGGGTAAATTACAAGAAATCAGAATGATAGCATATCGAGGAAAGAGAGCCCAGGCGCGATCATATTTTTTCTTATCAAGAGTTGCCTCCATTTACAAAGCTTTCCCGGCCGAAGTGACCACAGTCCTATCAATGGGTAGTTACAAGACGAGACTTGACGGACACATACTAACCTATAGATTACCATCTCCCTCTTAGACCTGCTATGTCTGATGCACATCATATATTTTACAAAGGTTATCACTACCACATATCAGTAACGGTTTCCTATATCTCTTATTATCGTCTTCGTCTCCCTTCTTATTCCTTCATTTCCGTCTTCCTACACGCTACCAACTTATTTACTTACGCATTATTCTTGAAATAACAGTATCCTCTTGACACTCAAACTACCACTTTGTTACTTTCGCAGTGCATCTAACCAGTCTTCTACATGGTAATGTGATAGCTGTTTGAATCCAGAAACCCTGGTGACATAGGACGAACGCACTTGACATACAAGACACACGAATCCACATATAATAAACGAACAAACTAGAATAGGGGCAACCGAGTGGCTAGACTATCATCCACCTGGAACTGTACAAAATAACAGAAAACGAGCGCAAAGAAATCAGTCGGTTTATACAAGCTACATGGTATTGGATTCGGCAATGAAGAATAAGGAGTAAGTAATGGAAGAAGAAGGATGGAATATTTTGAACATGTTTTGACTGACCTCAGACAAAGGAACATTGAAAATTATTTACTATTTGGGGTAAAACCTTGGCGGTGACCGCGGATAGGATAAATTTGACCTTGTCCAGAGGACAAACTAGGGTTGAGTAAAAAAAACGAGTTTCCCTTCGGAAGTTTAGTAGATGGGTGTTATTGACAATTTATCAGCCAACAAGAAGACACCTTTAGGTTAATTGACTATTTATATCGCCCAAGAGTCATCTGCATATCATAATCTTACTAAAATATAGTAGAAAAAGCTGTTGAACGTGAATGATGAACTATTGTATGCAAATTTTCATGATTTATATTACAAATCGACATCATACATAATGCAAGAACTCCTTTTTGCCTTTTGGAAAGATTAGGTCTTCCCTGAATTGTGACTGGTTCTTCCTGGGATGCTGAGTCAGGCGATAGTAGTTTACGGTGAAACTCTACTTTATGGACGACCTATGAACGAATTTTTAAGTGACCTTGAGAACATTAGCCAATCAGAAGAGAGTTAGTGTAAAGTAAAAATATATTATAAAAAAGTGATGAATTACAATGGATATTCTTCTTTTACATTATTGAAGAACTTGTTGAGGTTTGATATAGGTTCAGAAGTTTTGAAATCATAGTGAATGCGGTATAAGAACTCGTCCATACGACTCCATAATAATCGTCCTCTGGAGCCGTGGTAGGAACTTAAAAAATACTTCAGCCTAGACCACATGCCCTCAATGTTGTTTGTATGGACCCCCGTCGTCGGGTCAACAAAATGACGTTCGTGCACCACAACATGATGCACAAATCCAAGTCTCGAGAGGCATCTATACGCTTTCCAATCATCGGTATAGCTGCAGCTAATGTTACTGGAGACTTTATGATCCAATTTGCAACGATTATCATGGTTTGTCTTAGCCTTAGCCGTGACCGGGCAAAAAAAGTGCCAGTTCGAGCAGATTTTTTTGTACAACATATAGTACAACGAAATACAATGTCATCGCGGCAGTCTGCACATTGTGCTGCGGTCATTTAATTGCCGCAGTCACAGACACAGGAGCTTCTTAATAGTCTCATCTGCTGTAGTCTCTCAACGATTACCCATTCTCTAAAATCTGCTGTAAAACGATCGAATGTGAGCATCTGGCATTGAACTTAGCGCCGCGACCTTGAAACTCCTTAGACGCTTCTGATTGGCTCGTCCATAAATTAGAGTCATACCTAGTTTACTGTTGTCAATGATAAACCTGAAATGTACCTTTGATCCACTGGTCGGCTAAACTATAATTCATGGCCTAACAAGTCAGATCTAAGATTTCGGTTCCTGGACTTTGGTACAGAATCCACTCATACATATAACAAAATTACATTTTGGAACCATAGTTGATATCAAGTCGTGACGAAAACCCTAATTTGAATTCCTAATCCCGACTTAAACCTCTAACATCTGGTCTCGATTCCTCACATGAATTTATATCCGTATTTCGACTGTAGCAAGTAGTCGTGGTTCCCAAAGGCACTTTTATATGGCTCAAAGGTCGTTCAAACATTATAGTCTCGTCAATTGTTCCACTCATGTGCAAAGTCATTTAACATCAATTCATGCTTTTTCATTACGACTAAATATGACGGTTGTGGAAGTGGAGTACTGAATTTCATAAAACTGTTAAGGTCTTACCTAATTTATGCTTATAAAAATTCTGTTTTTTCTGCTGATATGGCTGTTTGCTATGACTGAAATAACTGATACTTATTGCAATGGAACATGTCAGCGCAAGAAAATAAACAAGACCGTAGGTGAAGACTTGTTTATTCACGTACCCTTGATTAATATAATATTAAAAGTAATGATAAAATATGTATGCAAATTTTTAAATTTTCAGTCAATAGATAAGCAGTAATTTACATACTGTTATACACAAATCCTTATGTTCTTTCTTTTTTTTACCTACTCTCCTTATTTCTTTCCAATGACCACCTGTATAAAAACTAGTCTTCTTTAAGAGTTTGGTTTTTAACCTGTTTTTGTTCTGGTTTTCAGTTATCTGATGCCGACTAAACAATATGTCCGTTTACAGCCTTTCTACCGTTGAATGTCATCCATTGTAATTACCAGGCGTTAAAATGTCAAGTGGTTTGTAACTCACTTTAACAATCATTTTTCTGTATTAGTAAACCTACATAGTGATTTATTCCTGCATTATTATAAAGCGTGGGGTGGAGTTGAAGATTATGAATCAGAGAACTTAGGGATACCAGATTTTTTTCAACGTGTTAGTACATATTAAGATACTATTAACTTACTGTGCAGGTACCACAAGATAATGAGATTTTACCTGCGAAATTACGGGAGGATGCTAGGTAGATATTTAAACAAACTATGATCATTTTTAGGTCTGCTTTGTTGGAGAGAAAAAGTTTGAGATTGTTGTCTAATGTTGAACTTCAAGTAAGGTAGTTTCTGTTATACGTTGTTTTTGTACAAGGAGTTTTGGTATCTTTTGGAACGCTATCATTCACCTCCTACAGTTAATGGTGAAAAATTCATGGACTATGAGAATTTTCGCAAGGCATCTAAAGAAGCATCTCCCAAGGCAAAGTAAGTATCAAATACTTTTTTCGGCTTGATTGGTTTTATTTTTAATCTGCTTTTAAACATTTACGTTTTATTTAGGCAACAGTTTATTGTGCAGTCAGTTTTAAAGTATACCATTTGTGGTAACGAGATACTACGTTTATGTTATTATGGTCTGTAAAAGGTTAAATCCCCTACTTTTTCAGCTTGGTGTAGGTCCTGTCTTCAGAGGAAAAAAATAACATTTTTCGAATTAGAACAGGAAGTTTTATTTTCTTCTCACTGGAACATTATAAATACGTTGTTGTCTCATTATTATCAGTCCAACCCAACTTATTTAAATTTATCAAGTCAAGTCTCCATAGGGACGATCATAATTTGTCATGCTTAAGAATCCACCTAAAATTAAAGAATTACGAGTCTCACAGATACTGAGCTATTTAGGCTCTTATAATTTCCAATAAAATATTCATAAAATGCCTAGAAATGTAGAAGAAAAGTAAATCTTATTTCGACAAACAACCTTGGAATGTGATATAGAACCTTAGACGTTAGTTCACTTTGCCACCTTTCTAAATATCACAACACAAATTCCAAAAGGGAGGCAAGATACAAAAATTACATGACATGAGTTTTATTAATTTACTTAAAATATTTGTAGCTCAAAGACCATTCATTTGGTCGTTGTATCATGCACAAGCAATGATCTTAGATACTAGTGATCAAAAACTTGTCACGAAATCGCTCTTAAATCATTTCATCGCAATCTTATAAAACATGAACATTCATTTAGTCCTTTCATGTAGATATGATGATTATCGGTCAACGCTGGCTATTTCTAGTGGTTACTAACCTATCAACTACACTTTTTACTTAAAACTACTACCGACCGATGTCGGGAATTAGCGTTTACTTATACCTTAAATATCTGTAAATTTTGTTTGTTTCTCATGATTGCAATACTTACAGTTACATGATAATCAAAATTTACGAATTAATATATTTTAGGCAATATTTCACAGCAGCTACATTTGTAAAATTACTTCGTGAAGATGAAGTTTTGTCACGTATTAATATCTTGACATTTTTCAATTATGTCATGAAGAAAGTATGGTTGCAACAAACCCATGTTGGGATATCTCTTTATGATGTGTGCGGTGAAGGTTATTTGAGAGAAACAGATTTGGAAAACTATATGTTGGAACTTATCCCTACTTTGTGTCAGGTAACTTGTTCATTCTACATTTTATCGTGAATGTGACTGCTTTGGTGGAGGAATTGTCTTGATACCATTTAGGAGGTGATACTGTTTAGTTAGACCACATGACATACCTTAAAATGTATTGAGTATTTGAAAAAATGAACTATGCGCTGTACTCATTAATTTCATCAAACGTGTGACTACAATATCCTTCTTAATAAATATGTTACTCTGATAAGGTGATAGATCTGACACGACCTAATGGCCAGTCCATACTTGAGGCCCTCATTCATGCGCTTTTACATTGCTTAAAAATCAACTAATGAGACTAAGACATGTATTGGTTAACTTTTATAAATTATGAAAAAAATTGATTTCAAACCCTAACACAGAATCGCATGTCAACCAATTTTCTTTAATAACCAGGGTCTTCCTTCAGCATTCAGTGTTGTTTAATTTCACTTATTAACTCATTACAGTTTTTCGTTGGTTCATCTTACTCTATAAATGCGATCAGTTCATGGCGCATGAATAATTCAACTGTAATACGTAGCTCTAGCTAAATAATCTAGCCACTCGGCTCCGATGGTTCAAAACCTTTCGGATATTACGGTTACTGTTACCCGTCCAACGAAGTGGTTGGAGCCTCATGGCTATTCGGGCAGAGAGAAGAGCTCCAAGGGACAGTACGACTGGACACTGGAGAATTATGTAGATGGGGATATGATATCAATAGTATGAACGAATTTCTCGACCCACACCTGGTAGTGCAGACGTATTATATTGGCTTACACTACTCTTTTCCCACCACTTTCGGAAGCTTTTATGCAACCAAAAGCTCTGATATGCTACTAGTAAGTTCACCAGCGGACAAACGTAGAGCTTATCTGTACCTAAGTATGCTTCATGTGTACATATTCAAATGCAGGTGTCGGGGATACATACATTCCAGTGACGTACATATTGGTATAGATGGGCACAGTTGCTAGTATGCTAACATATGTAGTCAAAGAAAGCGACGACAAGTCCACATCTCCCACAATTACATATAGACATAGAAGTTTCCACTCGCAAGTATACAATACATGTATATACTGAATGCCTAAGCCCCAGGCCCACGCACTCCATAGTATGCACATAAGCATAGATATGAATGCCCCAAGCCCAGCAGCATTTCACTGAATGAATATTGAGTATTCAAGTTAGCATCTAAGTCGTCATAGATGATGACCTCACTCCACGCTCTTACCATAAGCCAGTTTATTGTCGACCACTGCACTGGTTACGGCACAGATAATGGCCTACGCTCTGACCCGCCCTTGCCAGACCTCATGGGCCTTTCCAGACTAGTCTGTACAGGCGCCAAAAGAGAAGTTTTCTCCAATACCACAGCCACAAAGCCAATTCAAGTCAACCTCTCTTCTCCTATAATCAATGTTTAGACAGAGTGGGTGATTAGTCCGATCTCTATCTGACGGTGGTTGGTCAGTCCGGTTTCTACTGTGTCTATTGCGTCATTTCATGGGGAAAGAGATCACTCACTATCCAGAGAACACTACGCGAAAGTGCAAGTCGAACTTTGCCCTCCTCTCAGATATTGCTCCCTTAAATTCTATCTTACTCAAAAACCACTACACATAATTTGACTGTACATAACCAAGACTCCTGGATTGTGACAGTAAGTTCTCATTTTACAGACACTAAAGTTTGGTTGACTACAGTACGTCAGAATTATTTTCACTGTCCCATTGTCCCTCAAACTTTTGCTAGCTTTTAAACCTTAATTTTGCCCATGTTTAATAGGACTTGACTATGTTCATTTGGTAATTATGAAAATTTTTAAACCCTTGGAACACTTCTTAAATATTAAAAAAATTTGTATTCCTTACCCAAAAATAACTTTAGCTATCAGAGTTGGAGCCAACGTTCCAAACATTCTATGTATGCACGGCTGTACGAAAGTTCTTCTTTTTCCTTGATCCTTTACGTTCGGGTCGTGTGCGTATCACCGACATTTTAGCTAGTGGATTTCTAGACTCTATGCTTGAATTACGTGAAGTATCTACATCAGAGGCACAATTAGCCGCTAATTGGTTTAGTCATCAATCAGCTGTACGTGTTTACGGTAGCTATTTGCTCTTAGATGAAGATCGAAATGGCTTGTTAACACGCAGTGAATTATCACGGTAAGATGAATAACATTTAGCATCTCATAAAGGTTATTTTTGCTGTAGAGCTTTATTAATGTTTTCGATCATTCAGCTTTTAACTCTTCATTGTCATCAGTTTTCTATACAGTGACATTTTCTGAACTGGACACCTTTGTCGGTTTCAACCATTTGACCAAAACAGGCTAACTTGTGATAAATTTTTTGGTATGTAAATTAAACGTGTTTAAAAAGTGAATAATCAATTATACGCTTTTATATGTGAAAATTATATTTGAAATATTCTCAGCGATTGAAATCTAACTAATTCCAACGTTTCGTCCAGCTAACTTGTCTGGACTTCTTCAGGGTAATAATCAAAATCAAAATTATCAAAGAAATATATAGCTTTTAACAATCAGGATTATACTGTGTTAAACCAATCATATTTGGGTGTTGATTTTTTGTAAAATAGGATAAAATGAGTCAGTTGACTACAAATCATGTGATGAATTCAACTACATGGAAATACGTAACTGAGTAACAAGTCGTATGTGTGCGAGTGTGTATGTATGTATGCATGTGTGAGAGATTGATATGAAGGAATAAATAAAGTTCAAGTATGAAAAACTTGATAATGAAAGATCGATGTGCATGTCAAAACATAAATTGTATTGTTTAGAAACTCATTCAGTTCTTTCAATAATAATAACGATGCATGTGATATTAAAAACAGGTTTAAACAAGAGATAGGTTCCAAATTTACTTGTCAAACGAAATTTGCCAGGTAGTTGCTAGTTGAATACCATCTTTTCGGTTCAGGCTGTTCTTGTTCGCCCATATATGCAGAGCTTCTGCTGTCAATCTTTCTTTATGGGTGTTAAAACCTTTCTGAAGTATTTTGGTCCCTTCAAAATTAATCTTGTGTCCTGTTTCTAACGCATGTAACGCTATCGCTGACTTATTTTCAAGTTTCTTTAAATCTACCGAGGATTTTGGAACATTTTTCAAGCATTGTTCGTGTTCCTTCAATCTTACATTTAATTGCCTGGATGTTTCTCCAACACAGGTAGCATTACAGTCATGACAGTGAATCTCATACACAATGTTCTGTTGTTCTTCCTTTGCTAACTTGTCCTTAACTTTCACCAATGTCGATCTTAATGTGTTATTTGCTCTAAAATACACTCTTATATCATGTTTGTTTAGAATCCGTTTGATTTCTTCTGATGTTTCACTCCGGTAAGGTATGACTACAGTGTACTTCCATTCTTTTCGTATACTTTCTAGTTTAGTTTTTCTTTCATTTTTAATAATCTTTTTTAAAAACCTTTTTGGGTAGTTGTTATCCCTAAGAGTAGAAAATACTTTATTTAATTCGGTTCTTTGGTCTTCCTTGTCTGTAACAATCTTAGTGCTTCTGTTCATTAGATTTTTTACCACATTAATTTTCGTGCTCTGTGAATGGGCTGAATTAAAATCCAAGTATCTCTCGGAATGCGTTGATTTTCTGTAAACATTTATTTTTAACTTCTTATTATTGTGTCGACGTTCAACCAGACAATCTAGAAATGCTAGTTTGTGGTCAACTGATTCTAATTCCTTAGTTAGTTTAATGTTTTCAGAAATGCTGTTTGTATTGTTAAATAGTTCTTCCATACCATCCCGTTTATTGATAATAAAAATATCGTCTACATACCTTAACCATAACTTTGGTGGACATAAACTCTTCGCGATTGCACTAGTTTCTAGGGAATGCATGAATAAATTCGCTACAATCGGAGAAACTGGTGAGCCCATTGCTATACCCTCTTTCTGTCTGTAAAGTTGACCTCGAAATATGAATAAGGTAGATCTTAAACATAATTCTAAGCATTTTATAACCTCTGATGGATCTAATGGGCATCGTAAATTCAAATCTAAATCAGATTCTAAACAATCATTGATAATATCAATTGCTCGACTGATAGGTACATTAGTGAATAAGGAAGATACATCAAAACTTGCCATTATTTCGTCTTCTTCTATATCGATGGTATCAATTAAATTCTTGAATTCCATAGTTTTTAATTCCATGATTAATCCGCTTTTCATATGGTTTGAGAATCTTAGCTAAATATTTAGCTAGATTGTAAGTCGGTGAATTTGTATAGTCTACCACTGGTCTTAGTGGAGTATTATTCTTGTGGATCTTTGGTAGCCCATAAAATCTGCATGGATTACAACTCTTTGGATATAACATAAACCATAAGGACGATCCTAGCTTAGCTTTTAATGACTGTAAGAGTTTGCTAGTTTGCGCCTTGAGTTTATTAAGAGTTGTTCTACTTTTCGCTTCTTTGATTTGTTCATATGGACCCTCTTGTAGATGTTCTTTGGCTTTGTTCTCATACTCTGTTTTATTCATAATAACTGTAGTATTACCTTTATCTGCTCTCGTTATTATGATCGTTTTGTCCTCTCTCAGTTGTTTTAATGCGTAATACTCATTTTCATTTATGTTAGGGTTGTGAGGTTTCTGATGTAATAATGTGTTCATTATTTTATTCCTCAGTTCATTCGCTGTATCATTCGGGAGTATATTCAGCGCTGGTTCTACTGTTGGTATAACATTGAATGGTGTTAATTTATGTCTATTTATATTGAAGTTGAGACCCTTTTAGAGTAATGATATTTCATGTGGGTTGAGAGATCTATCCGATAAATTAACAATTATTTTATTCATATCATTTGTGTTAGATCTATTTTCCGTCTGTTGAACTTTGGTGTTTGATGAATGTTTCTAATCTTGACGAATATTCGTATAAATTATCAAAGAAAATACATAACTGGTACAATCACAGAATTTTTAATATACGATGCTTAAAACAAAATGTTTATCCAAAATCTCTGATGGTCAAATCTCCAGACAATTCTATTCGGTCAATCAAAGCGGCGATATCAACCACTAGAACATTTATTAGAGAACGTATATAAAAGGCCACTATGAATTTGGAGGCACTACTACGATGACATATTGTCAGTTACCATACCGAACGAAATAAGATCGTATATAATTGAATTTTTCAAACATAGAGAACAATTTTATTATCAATCATCAAAACAACGACAAATTAGGAAGTTTGAAAAACTATTGAAACATTCATCAAACACCAAAGTTCAACAGACGGAAAATAGATCTAACACAAATGATATGAATAAAATAATTGTTAATTTATCGGATAGATCTCTCAACCCACATGAAATATCATTACTCTAAAAGGGTCTCAACTTCAATATAAATAGACATAAATTAACACCATTCAATGTTATACCAACAGTAGAACCAGCGCTGAATATACTCCCGAATGATACAGCGAATGAACTGAGGAATAAAATAATGAACACATTATTACATCAGAAACCTCACAACCCTAACATAAATGAAAATGAGTATTACGCATTAAAACAACTGAGAGAGGACAAAACGATCATAATAACGAGAGCAGATAAAGGTAATACTACAGTTATTATGAATAAAACAGAGTATGAGAACAAAGCCAAAGAACATCTACAAGAGGGTCCATATGAACAAATCAAAGAAGCGAAAAGTAGAACAACTCTTAATAAACTCAAGGCGCAAACTAGCAAACTCTTACAGTCATTAAAAGCTAAGCTAGGATCGTCCTTATGGTTTATGTTATATCCAAAGAGTTGTAATCCATGCAGATTTTATGGGCTACCAAAGATCCACAAGAATAATACTCCACTAAGACCAGTGGTAGACTATACAAATTCACCGACTTACAATCTAGCTAAATATTTAGCTAAGATTCTCAAACCATATGAAAAGCGGATTAATCATGGAATTAAAAACTATGGAATTCAAGAATTTAATTGATACCATCGATATAGAAGAAGACGAAATAATGGCAAGTTTTGATGTATCTTCCTTATTCACTAATGTACCTATCAGTCGAGCAATTGATATTATCAATGATTGTTTAGAATCTGATTTAGATTTGAATTTACGATGCCCATTAGATCCATCAGAGGTTATAAAATGCTTAGAATTATGTTTAAGATCTACCTTATTCATATTTCGAGGTCAACTTTACAGACAGAAAGAGGGTATAGCAATGGGCTCACCAGTTTCTCCGATTGTAGCGAATTTATTCATGCATTCCCTAGAAACTAGTGCAATCGCGAAGAGTTTATGTCCACCAAAGTTATGGTTAAGGTATGTAGACGATATTTTTATTATCAATAAACGGGATGGTATGGAAGAACTATTTAACAATACAAACAGCATTTCTGAAAACATTAAACTAACTAAGGAATTAGAATCAGTTGACCACAAACTAGCATTTCTAGATTGTCTGGTTGAACGTCGACACAATAATAAGAAGTTAAAAATAAATGTTTACAGAAAATCAACGCATTCCGAGAGATACTTGGATTTTAATTCAGCCCATTCACAGAGCACGAAAATTAATGTGGTAAAAAATCTAATGAACAGAAGCACTAAGATTGTTACAGACAAGGAAGACCAAAGAACCGAATTAAATAAAGTATTTTCTACTCTTAGGGATAACAACTACCCAAAAAGGTTTTTAAAAAAGATTATTAAAAATGAAAGAAAAACTAAACTAGAAAGTATACGAAAAGAATGGAAGTACACTGTAGTCATACCTTACCGGAGTGAAACATCAGAAGAAATCAAACGGATTCTAAACAAACATGATATAAGAGTGTATTTTAGAGCAAATAACACATTAAGATCGACATTGGTGAAAGTTAAGGACAAGTTAGCAAAGGAAGAACAACAGAACATTGTGTATGAGATTCACTGTCATGACTGTAATGCTACCTGTGTTGGAGAAACATCCAGGCAATTAAATGTAAGATTGAAGGAACACGAACAATGCTTGAAAAATGTTCCAAAATCCTCGGTAGATTTAAAGAAACTTGAAAATAAGTCAGCGATAGCGTTACATGCGTTAGAAACAGGACACAAGATTAATTTTGAAGGGACCAAAATACTTCAGAAAGGTTTTAACACCCATAAAGAAAGATTGACAGCAGAAGCTCTGCATATATGGGCGAACAAGAACAGCCTGAACCGAAAAGATGGTATTCAACTAGCAACTACCTGGCAAATTTCGTTTGACAAGTAAATTTGGAACCTATCTCTTGTTTAAACCTGTTTTTAATATCACATGCATCGTTATTATTATTGAAAGAACTGAATGAGTTTCTAAACAATACAATTTATGTTTTGACATGCACATCGATCTTTCATTATCAAGTTTTTCATACTTGAACTTTATTTATTCCTTCATATCAATCTCTCACACATGCATACATACATACACACTCGCACACATACGACTTGTTACTCAGTTACGTATTTCCATGTAGTTGAATTCATCACATGATTTGTAGTCAACTGACTCATTTTATCCTATTTTACAAAAAATCAACACCCAAATATGATTGGTTTAACACAGTATAATCCTGATTGTTAAAAGCTATATATTTCTTTGATAATTTTGATTTTGATTATTACCCTGAAGAAGTCCAGACAAGTTAGCTGGACGAAACGTTGGAATTAGTTAGATTTCAATCGCTGAGAATATTTCAAATATAATTTTCACATATAATGACTTCTCTATACTCGGCGCTCAATTACTGTCAAACTATTCGTTCTAATCTTGACGGATATTCGTGTAAATTATACGCTTTCACTAAAGTTCTATGTTCGCCCTGTTGACGATTGTTGTCACTCAAAACTCAATCAAAGTGAGAAAAAATTAGTGTGAGAATAGATGTCTTTTCGTCTACAAATACGCTCCCACAGATTGTAACTCGAATACAATGATGGATGAGTTTTGTCACCACTTAACTGTTCTTCTACGGAAAGTGCGTTCGACAGATATTGTATTATTAGCCGGAGACTTGAATACTGAGGCCGGGCGTCTAGGTACAGAAGATAGTCGTGTAGGTAGCCGGTGGGGACTTGTTGGTTGCAGGTCATATAACGGGGACCATCTAATGCAACTGTGCGCAGAACAAAACCTGTTTCTGGCTATCAATAACTACTGGCACAGTTGGTTGCAATTAAATGACCCCATGAAGATGGCGATTAAAGTCGCTGGCGTGCCAATGAAATAGAAGCATCAGTTGCATCTAATAACTGTTGGAAGCTCTTTCAATTCATCCAAATTACTGGCATCCAGAAGTCTGGTGTAAGTGAGGCATTTTTCCCGACCGTTATTGCTACCTTGACGTTGTGGTCAGGCTTGCTTATCGTGATGAACCAGTCGAGCTACGCTGGCTGGAAAAATTGTTATTCAAGGTTCTACCATGCCAGATAGGTCGGTTGAAGAACGGTTAAACTAAAAGCAGTAAATTCAAGGTCCGAAGGCGAAGCCGTACTTCTGACTGTACAGAGGTGTAACGGCAGTAAGGTGTTTCCTTCAGACAACCAGCATAACATCGATTCTACCTTCCGATAAGGAAGGGTGGGGTTAGAAAAGGTCAACCCTAAAAATGCGCACCTCGCCTTATCCTACGGATATCCGTCTCCGGCGGTAAGGTCTCAACAAGTACGGAGCTAACGTAATAATTACTCATAAAAAGGTCGTGTGTGACTGACCTCAAGCAGTTGTCCCTTGGGTACTGAGTTCACGCTCTCAGGTCACTAATGCCACCTCTAATCCAATTTCATTTTCAAGTACCTCCAGTAGAACCCTTGCACGGTGTGGGCGTATGGGAGGTTATAGCCGCCCTCATACTTCTCTCAGCACTTGAGATCACTGAGGCGATTCGTGACGATGGTGGGATGCCAACCAATAAAATCTACCTCCGTCTTGGACGACGGGCAGAGTTCAACTGGTCTTCTACTTCGGGGACATCTATCAGACTATCCTGCCCTCCATAACCGGTGACGACTGATCCACCTACCGAGGTTGAAATCCTCGAAGAACTCCAACTCTTGAGGCTCTACAAATCACCAGGCCCAGATGACCTACCCCCGGACCTTTTTATAGATGGTGGAGACTTTCTGGTTGTTTTTTTACCTACTTCTGGCAATTAGTGAGTGTACCAACATCGTGGAATGAATCGACAGTTGTCCCTATCCTTAGAAACGGTTCATGTTTTTTCTACAACAACTATCATGAGACAAGTCTACTTCCGACTGTGTCCAAACTATTGGCTTCCGTCTTACTTCGTAGGTTGTTCAAAACCCGAGAGAGATTGACTCATGAGGAGCAGGCTGGTTTTCGTTCTGGTCCAAGATTTATTGATCATATCTTCACCCTCCGCCAAATGTTAGAACACCGTCATCACAGACCAACAGTTTTAGTGTTTCTTGACATCAGGGCTGCCTTCGATTCGTTAGACGGGACTGCTCTCTGGGATTGTCTATTGAAGAAGGGTATACCTGAGAAATTTATTAATATCTTAAAAGCCCTATATACAAACACCTCAGGCAGAGTGATGGCATAAAACCATATTATTTTACTGTGTGATGATATCCAAGCCATTTAATCCGCACTTAATCAGTTGGCAATCATTGTCCGTAGGTATGGTATGTGCTTTGCACCTTCGAAGTGCAGAGTACTTCTACAAGACTGGCAGGATCCTAATCCTGTACTCACCCTGGATGGTGAGCAGATAGACGTAGTCGAAAAGTTCGTGTATCTAGGTAGCTGCATAAGTGCTGGTGGTGGCATGAGTGATGAGATCAATCCACGTATAGTGAAAGCCAGAGCGGCTTATGCCAATCTGGGCCATCTTTGGTGCCTTCGTGATGTTAGTCTGGCCGTAAAAGGTCGGATCTACAACGCGTCGGTGAGAGCAATTTTGCTGTATGTTTGTGAAGCCTGACCTCCCCGAGTTGAGGATGAAAGACAACTCTCTGTGTTCGATCATCGTTTTCTCCGAAGGATTGCTGACATCCAGTGGCAACACCATGTTAATAATGCAGAGGTTCGGCATCGTGTGTTCGGGCACAGAGATGATAATCCAATCGATGTCAACCTCTTGAAACACCGACTTCGGTGGCTTGAGTATGTCTTACTAATGTCGTCCAGGCGAATTTCAAGTCGTGGTTGGAAAAAGCGGAGAGGTTGTCAGTATATAACATGGCGTCGTGCTACGAAAGAAGACTGTACAGGACTGGCTTCTGTTGGTACTTCATGACTCTCTAATTGGATTCCTTAAGACAGTGCAACATAATGGCCTGTGATGTTACTAAACGTACCTTAGGATAAAAGGCAGTGGAGATCCTGCTGTAGTTTTGTTTTAATTTCTTCATAAAAATGAACGTAAATTCTCTGACCAAAAGGATTTTTTCTGATTGTATTTTCGCTAACTGAACTGTTTCTCCCATTATTATTATTATTATTATTATTATTATTATTATTATTATTATTATTATTGTTATAACTCTGTTTTCTTACGGCTATGACCCAGCTATTCCTATTGCTTAGTATTCTTGGACACCGATTCACTCGACAAGACCCCAAATCAGAACACGGTTGAACAGGAAAGAGATTATATTCCAAATAACAAGGTTAGATGGAGGCAAGATGCAAGCCAGAAGCACAATAGGGAAAACGTCAGTATATTTATAGTTTTTACATAAGAAGATTCCAGAGTATTCTCCAACTATCGACTGGTGCTGATTGGATAAGAATTAACCAATCAGCGTGCACCAAAGCAATCATGCATTGAGCATGCTTTAATCTAGTCTATGTCCCGCTAACAATTATTACTATTATTATTATTATTATTATTATTATTATTATTATTATTATTATTATTATTATTATTATTATTATTATTATTTGACTCTCATACATTAATTTCTGTTCATCGTTGTTCTTCGTTTTTGTTATACGCAATTTACCTCTCTCTCTTCACAACCTCATTGTTATTGTGTGGCGTATATGTATTTGGTGCCCTCTTGTACCAAGGTTCATGTGTTCAAATAAATGAGTAACCATTCAAAACCAGACCCAAGACTTCTTGCCAGTTTTTTTTCCAAACAATTGACGTAGGGAAATATTACGGTCTATTTGGTCTCATAATTATGAAGATTTGTTCATTTTATGTATTCATTTCAATCATGAACTGACTCGGGTTTGAGAACCATTGACAATCCAGTAGCACTAAATTATTTGTTCATCTTCGCTTGGAATTCTTTATTTTTACTCAACTATAATCTCAAACTAGATTAGATGTGGGAGCTTCTCTCCTTGTTACAAATAGAAAACTATGTCTCATTTTCTGTGGTTTTTACCTATTTGTGATGTAGCACCAACATTATCCTTTTTACCCTTATATAGTTTTGCTTAACGGATAAAATCTTTTAAATCAAGTCACCACTACAAATTTAACTACTATCCAATTTAGGCAAGTAAATGATGTTTAAGAGTAAGTGTGTTTGAGAAACTCAAAGTCTATTTCGAAAACTTAAACTGTAAGTGTGCCCAACTGTAATGATACAAATTCATTTCCTCTATATCACTGATGGGATCCAAACAATAAGTATTACTATATTTTTGCGGATCCTTTATTTTTCTCTCTATATTCGTCTTTTTTTTATTCCTGTTTGAGACTAGTTATACTGATTTGATTTTTGGCTCTACCATTTCCGAACCAATAATTTAAATGATTGTTTGTCATGTGGTCTGGTGACTTCGATTGATATCACCAACAAAGATGTTGATGCGATCTGTAAAAATTAGCATATGACTGTAAAGTTCGGTTAGTGTATTATTTTCTCGTTATCGAAGAGTATTGATTTATATATCATTTTTTAAATTTGTTGTAAAGATTTGGAAATGGTACATTGACCGAAGTATTTCTCGATCGTGTATTTCAAGAATGTTTAACTTATGAAGGTGAAATGGTTAGTTTATTTTTTATTTACCAAATTTGCATTCAAATATTGTTGTAATAATAATTCTGTGATATTTTTGCCTTTCAGAAATAAATGCATATTTCAGTGTTATCCTACGTAGTGAATTTGTCATCATTTCTTATGATTACTTGCATTACAGCATTTCTAGTAGATAAACGGTATGCTTAGTGATGCTACTGTTTAGTGGTCAAAAGGATGGGTTACTTTCACCAATAGTAAACTCTTAAAAAGTATCGAGCTAATGCCACAAAAACAACTACTCATTAAAATATAGTATGTAATCAGTAATCGACTCCATCTTCTTCGTCCTGAAACGTTTCTTTTTATTTTAACTTCCTCTCACCCTGTTATCAACCTTCCCTCTTAAACTTGATCTTCTCTTCGTTGTAAATAGGTGCTAAAGATCCAAACGCATGGAAGACTATTCCTCCTCTCTCGAAGCTAACTAATGAAGCTAGAAAAAGCTAGGGACTAACTGATCAATATTAATCCTTAACGTCACTAACTATTGGATGAGAAGTCAAGAAGTTCAGACTTCTTTGTTGGAACCCATATTATAGTCTTTATTTATGTTTGGTTACTTTTTATTCGTTTCTTATCCTCCTTTCAGTTTGCAGCTTACTGCTTTTCTATAGCCTTTTTATTTTACAACTTCATTTCTTCCTTTCAGACTGAATTTCTTATATTTGCTGTTTCTCATTTTCCCCCATCTACCTTGGCTTGGCTAGCCAAGTAGTACCACGTACCCTCACACAAATGTGTGGCTCTGGGTTTAATTTGAGTGCCTATTATACTAAGTCTTTTATTTGTTATAATCAAATCAAACCGTTTAAAATGGGCGACCTCAGGTGTATATTACGCAGCAGTCAGTAACTCAGATATGTTTTTGATCAAGTATTATATCTATTTATTGTGGAATAGTAGTTTTGTAGATAAGGCGTTATTTTTTCATTCACAGAGTTTCGGGTTTACACTTGCCTCACTTACTTTACTTTGAGAATTTGCGTGGTACCACCTCATCACGAAAAAATGATGCATTGTAGTCTCGAGCCACATCGTTCTGTACTTGGTCGCCTAGTTGTATTAAAACCAGTTATGTGTTTAGTCATTATCCTTAGTGGTTAGTTGTGAGGTTGTCAGATCGTTACAAATGAAATCCATACGCGATTGTTATAATTGGTCACAGTAGTATTATGATTCCCTACTCAAAATTCATTTTTTACGTCTTTACCAGGACTACAAAACTTATTTAGACTTGGTTTTGGCTATGGAAAATAAACATGAGCCGCAAGCAATTGCTTATCTTTTTCGTATTCTTGATGTTGGTGGTCAAGGTAAACTGACTTCACTAACATTACGTTATTTCTATGATGGAATCGAAGACAAACTACGTGCTTCAGATAATGACATACCAAGTTTTGAGAATGTATTAAATGAAATCTTTGATATGGTACGACCAGCGAATCCCCATTACATCACTTTAGATGACCTTATCAATTGGTAAGTCCATGCTGGTTTTTAAAAAGCTGGAGTTTCATATCTCTATTGGTTATGTATATGTATGAACTAGGTTAATTATTTCGATTTTATATTCGTATTGAGCCTTCATTAACTCACACCCCTTAGTTCAGACAATGCCAACTGTAATTGAAATATTATATTTACTGAATGGTAAAACACTGAATTTAGTATGAATACATGTTGATAGGAATTTAGCATTCACTAGTCATTAGTTTATAGATATACAACTAGTAGGATTACTGCGACTTAATAAATTACTAGAACTATGGCTAAACAATCAATGAAAATTGTATTTACTATAAATTTATTTTATGGACTTATCACGATTAGATCGAAATAGTAGTGTATTAGAGGACTATTTCGAAATTTCTCGATTTTGTTATATTTTGTGCTTAGATTCTTGATATACCGCTTATAACTTGAGCACTCGAACGCTAGAACCCTCTAAAGTCACAAATGAGGAGACAGAGGACAAGTGAAAGTAATGCTATTCCAAATAGTGTCTATTATAGTACAGAACTGTCAGGTATTTATAGTTTTTGGTAAAAATGAAATCATCATTATAGTCCTCCAATCCACATACAGGGGGTTATTAGCATTTGTCCAATAGGGAAGCTCCACGTAGGGATTCTGGAATATTCTTCGGAAGGATGATTGGATGGAATATCTTCATCTCTTCCCGAGCTTCTTAGGGCCTCCTTGAGTTCACTCGTGAACCGTACTCACACTTCCACTCTTTAAAGTCTGTTATGTAAGACTTTTCTCTTACTTACTTACTTACTTACTTACTCCTGTTACTCCCAATGGAGCATAGGTCGCCGACCAGCATTCTCCAACCCACTCTGTCCTGGGCCTTCTTTTCTAGTTCCATACAATTTTTGTTCATTCTTCTCATGTCTATCTCCATTTCCCGGCGTAATGTGTTCTTTGATCTTCCTCGTTTCCTTTGGCCTTGAGGGTTCCATGTGACGGCTTGTCTTGTAACGCAGTTGGGTGCTTTCCTCAATGTGTGTCCTATCCACTTCCAGCAATTCTTCCTGATTTCTTCCTCCGCTGGGATCTGGTTTGTTCTCTCCCACAGTACGTTGTTGCTAATAGTGTCCGGCCAATGGATCTGAAGTATTTTGCGTAGACAATTGTTAATAAACACCTGTATTTTCTGGATGATGGCCTTCGTAGTTCTCCAAGTTTTTGCTCCATACAGTAGAACTGTCTTGACATTTGTATTGAAAATCCTGACCTTGGTGTTGGTTGACAGTTGTTTTGAGTTCCAGATGTTCCTCAGTTGTAAACATACTGCTCTTGCTTTTCCGATCTGCGCCTTCACATCTGCATCAGATCCACCGTGTTCATCAATGATGCTGCCCAGATATGTAAAGGTTTTTACATCTCCCAAATCTTCTGCGTCAATTGTGACTTTTCTCGGGTCCACCTAAAACTTCGTTATTGCATTCCTCTTGTAGTTCATCATTCTCGTAGGTTGTACCGCTTTGCCCTCGCGTCTTTTATCTCTTCTACATTCGCACTCCTGAGTTTTTTCGAGATGAATCCGCGAGCAATTGAAACGGGAGTCAGCTTTGTGAGATCAATGTTCTGCCATCCCTTTTGAACTTGATTTACGTGTCTTATACACGTTCCGACATTTCTTTGGATTAGGTACAGTATATTTCCGATCCGACGTTCTATAACACCTGGTTCCCACTTTATATCACCTTGATACAATTTGACAAGTACCCGTTTTGTGAAAATATCGACAACAACCAAGTAGTTTCTGCCTTGTATTGGACCGGCGAAATCAGCGTGTATTATTTGCCAAGGCCCGTTTGGTTTTGGCCATGGTTGTGGTTCAGCTTTAGTCGGATTCTTTGCAGCCTCTAGACAGGACCAATAACCCAGTTAGCTCATAGAGTGCATCTAGAGAGAAATTAAATATTGCCGGAAAAGTTTGCTGTACAGTTTCAAAAGGAAATGCGAAGACGAACGCAACACTGTATCTCACAGAGAATCCAGGACTAGATTTGCTGGGTCTAGACCTAGTGAAAACACTACAGCTAGCAAACCCACTCCATTAACCACATATACAGCTGCGTGAGAACCAACAAATCAGCGGAAAAGAATCTGAGGAATGTTGTGTTAGACATAGTCAAGTGTTCACGGAAGAATTTGGGGAATGCGAAAAGGTAAAAGCACTACTAATTCCTAAACCGGAAGTCACCCCCGTTTTTAGACCAAAACGTCCGGTATCTTATGCAGCGCTACCTGTTGTTGAACAAGAATTAGAGCGCCTACAAAGAAGTGAAATCATAGGACCAGTGAATTCTGATTGGGCAACATCAACAGTGATTGTTTAGAAGCCTAATGAAAGTATCCGGCTATGTGTAGAATATTAGGCTGGATTAAACAAAGCACTTGAAGCCCATCAGTACCACTTGCCACTACCAAAAGACTTATTTGCAAAAATGAATGGGGAGAAGTGTTTTGCAAAACTGGGTCTATCAGAAGCTTATCTACAGATTCCAGTAGCATTGCTTGACAATAAACATGCATAAAGGTTTGTTCTGATATAACAGAATTCCGTTTGCAGTAATGACCCCCCCTTCAATCTTCCAACAAATCATGAACACTATGCTACAAAAAATAACGTCCCTACTACGTTAGGGTAATATTTCGTTTGTTTGGTTCACTTGGCATGTTTTAATGCCGTAAAATAAATCCATCGTTTTCCAAACGTCACTTATCTTCCTGACGAATTAGCACTTGTATCCGATACTTTGTTGACTAGCCAGTCAGCTCACAGTAGTCATTATAAAATGACCCTGATCACTGGTATATGTTCAGTGAGTTAGTAAACACTAGGTTATTTTCATTTACAATGAGTGTCTGCGATCCCACTTCGTTGAGTGTATTTTTTAAACTTTTATAATACTTCCTCACAAAAGCACTATTTGATTGATTATTTACGTCTGTTCTTGTCTTATATATTTTTCTTCCCATATATGTTTACAATTTGGAGTTTTTGTTCATATTTATATATACAGTGGTAAGGGCGACACCGTAATAAACATATTGATTGATCTCCAAGGTTTTTGGGCCCATGAAAATCGTGAAGCTTTTACTTCCGAAATACCAGATGAAGCAGAATTGTAAATCGGATTTTGTTTATTCACTGATATCCAGCATTGTGATCAATGTTAATTTGCTCAGTGCATTGTTACTGAAAAAAAACATTGATGAACTTATATACTTGTTAGATAATTGAACACTTCTAAACTCTCGTAACGTGCCTATACTTAAAAATAAACAGGACGTTTGCGAAGTATAAAGGTAGTTCTCTGTTTCTCACTCACTATTTTCCGTTTTTACAAAGCAATTGATATCAAAATTTTATACATGCAACTTCATTTCCATGCTTTAGTTAAACACTATGTCACATTCTGTTAATTTGTTTATGAAACTATGCTGTATGATTGCTGAATCAACGTTCTAATGTTCCACTGTGAATGTACCTAGTCAGATTAGTTTTCACGTAGTTTTCGATTGGTGTTTTTCTGGTGTGCCTCTCAACACATATAACGCACTAAATGAGGAAGTTAGAGTAACCTTTGTGTCGATGAAGACTTGTTCTTGTTGCTGTTGTTGACTATTCCCATCATTTTCTAGTCGGTCTACGCAATTTGGTTGCGTTAATTTAAACTTCATTGTTTTAATTTAAAATCTGATTGTAAGCAATCAATCTTTTAGATGACTTTTTACAGAGTACTTCCATTGGTGATATGTCATTCTGTTTTAAAACGGTCAGCTAATAGGCAGAAAGTGTAGCTTTTCCTTCGTTTGTCAAAAATCAGATTTGTAAGATGTTGCGCAACAAAATGTCCACTCAACATGAAGGTTTATTATTTCTGAATACATATAAAACAGGTGAAATAACGTTTCTGAAGTATGGAAAGCTTTATACCCATTGCAGAATGATAGAAAGATTGTCATTATCAAATATGATAAAGGGAATACAACAGTGATCATAAACAAAGGCGACTATCGCGAAAAGCTCGTAAACATCTATCAACAAGAGCATATTTAGAGATTGGTTAAAAATAAAATCTAATAAAAAAATAAGTAAACTTCTGAAAGGGCTACATTCATCTATTGGCGTTTCCCTATAGATTACTTTATACCCTAAATCCAATACAACCTCACGTTTCTGCGGGCTACCAAAATTCACTAGCCTGACACTACTTTAAGATCCACAGTGAACTTCACAAATACTCTAACGTATGCTTTATCTAAATATCTAAGCAGCACACTGAAACCAGTTCAACACAGGTTATTTAATGTCGTAAAAGATTCATATGAATTCAAACCGAAGATCTCGGAATCATCCAGCTATCATGTTGTATCTTTAAACACTAGAATCGCAATTGATAAATGTCGAAACTATAATAGTTTACTGGAGAATCATGATACCCCTGTCTAGCACTTGTCCATTAAATATCAATGAAATTCCTCGAACTATATTTCTATATAAACAAACGAATGGAGCAGCCATGTGATCTCCAGTATCTCCGATTGTTGCTTATTTATAGTGTCTCGTGCTGAGTCACTTATTTTTGCCAGTACCATCAAACCACGCATCTGGCTCTGATACTTAGGTGACACACTTGTCATTATTAAAAAGACTCCTTAAAAATTTCCCCAAATACATAAGCACGTTCTAAGAAAATATCAAGTCAACTTCAAAAAAGAAAATGGATATAGTGAACTGCCATCCTTAAACTGTTTATTTGTAATGAATTCTAATGGAAATCTAACCATATACCGAGAATCGACACATTGAAGTCGGTATATAGGTTTTAACTCAGCACATTTATGCAGTGCAAAACCCTCTCTAGCCTCAATCTTTTCAGAAGAGTAACCAACATCATCACTTCAGAAGATAAGGTTAGAGGAAAAGAGGATGTTGCAACCATCCCACGATTTAATAAATTTCTTAAGAGCATTATTAAAAACTGTAGAGCAAAACTAATAGTCTGTAAATAACAATCCTAATGAGAGATCTTGTATTGACACTGTGGTCTTACCGCCAAGGTGAGACAGCGGATCTTAAAACCTACTAAATTTCAACCCCATTACTTTATATTACGAATGCATACATTCTGCCGCACAAATAGTATCAGGTTATTCAAATTCTGACAAGTTGCGAGCCACCTTCACAGATTTAATCCATTTTCGGGGGAGGGGAGTAAGACTTGTTACGCCTTTAACCAAGTGTAGTCGGAATCATGCCGGGCGAATCTAGAATTACTTAGACTAACTCAGATTAAGGAGATAACTTTAGTTGCATGGGATTTGGAAGTCATTGCAGACAATAAACACGCACACTGGTTAGTTTGACCATGCTTGAAGCAAATTACTACAAATCTGTACCATGTATGCGCACTTTTACCAATTTGCCTTTTTTTATTGAATACCATGTGCCCTGTTAGAAATCAACCTGTATGCGAATCCAAATTTTTACGAAGGACGCTCTCGTTCACTGCCTCTCACTATATTGCAAGTGAATTCTGGGATACTCTTGGACGTTACCTGATGTATGTGCTGATGATGTAGTCCAGAAGAACGATGAAGGATCCACGACCAAACCATCCGGATCAGAGAACAAAACTTCATCAAAATCATCCACCTGAGCAACAAATTTTCCCCACCATCTCAAAAAACAAACATTATTCGAAATCATTTATTTGGTTTGCGATGGTCCTTGTTTCAAGTTCACAAAGACTAAAACTCGTAATATTGTGAAAAAAGTAAAGCGACCGAAAGAGTATGACAGTGCAATATTTTGGAAACTACTGTAACCTTGCGGCTCCTCCAGAACGTATTGGATTTATTCGCTTGCTGATAGCTATCAGTGTCACCTCGTGTAAAACGTTGTATAGATTTTGCTAAAACGGCAGATTTAATGATATCGTGTGGGGTTTCGGGGATTGTTGAATGTTTTAGAGATCACAAATCGACAGGAGTAAGGAAATTGTCGGAAACCAAGAGGTACTTGATAGCTGTTTAGCTCTGCAACATAAAGTTTTAACAGTGAGCATTCAGTAACCCAAGTATAATTCAAGATTATTAGCCCTCTCGATGGCCATCTAAACTTTAGGTTATTGAGCCACCATACAATGATCAACGCGTTTAACTTCAATCGGTCAAGTATACTTACCGACCGTTTTTTATAATCTTTGGTGGGAAACTGCTTCACCTGATATGTTTGCAGTCCGATAGGTAAGATATCTCTCTAGAAGTCCGGATATTTTCTCCACAGACCCGGAGGTTCCGGATTTGTTTTCTAGTGTGTTCATGGGTGCACACTGCCTCTCTTTAAAAATAGATACAAATTACTAAGAACATGTGCAGAGATAAAAGACGAAGTGGCTAATAAAGCTGAGTAGCAAATTCTTTGAAGTTTGCTTTTATGAAAGGGGTTTTTCTCGCTGGGCTACAGGAAAACAAGTAATGATTTGCTGAGAGTGCGTAACGTGCTAGATACACTGTCATACAACACGAACTTCCTAATTTGCCGCACTCTGCAAGTTGTCATCAGAAAAATTTAAAAGTGAAAATACAAACAAATTCTTCGTTTTTATGACAAGTTTTCTTCATCCCGAATACTTCCTAGACTTCGGGGACGACGATCATCATGGTGGACAACTTCGAGACGAAGCTCACAAAATCATGTATTTCTCATGAATTACCGTCTCTGTATCATTTTCCTTACCTTCATTACAGCTTAGAAACTGTAAAACCGAGTTAAGATTTCCTACCAACAACAGGGGCTGTAATCCCAAACATTTGGATGTGTCAGCTTTACAGGACAATCTACAGTAGGCGGATTGGGAAATTCACGCTCAACTTGATGTGGATGCTCATTGGGATTTCTTACTGCACACATTTGTATATACTAAAAGGTAGTCTGTCCCGCTAACGGTCCTCAAAATCTACGAGCAATCTACAGTCATCAAGAACCGCACTTTTTGTTTGCTAAGTTGCAAGAGGCACTGCTAGGCGAAATAGAGACGATCTGGTAAAGACGGCGCATATAGGCAATTCAGATTAATAAGGAACATATACACAAAGGCAATAAGAGACAGGCTTCATTATCAGATAAAAACCTAACGATAAATTTGTCTCCAATCTCGAAAGCTTATTCCGTCATCCAGCCTATCTTCGACGAGCCAAAATCTAAGTTTCGTAGACTCTACACTCAAACAACAACGACGATCACGTCACCGGTCTTCTGGGTAGACAGCACTTTCGGACATTTCAAATGACCCGTACTAAATATACTGATTAGGACATTAACCTGCCACTCAACAGGACTCCGGAAAGTGAATCTGGGCGCTAATTTGGTTAGATGGAAACTGCAGCACTTATAAAGGGACACTTCTCCTAGCTCGGATATGGTTCACTCTACTATACTGAGGGAGGCAGTTTGAATCTGGGCAACACTGCTTAACGTGATATTATCAAATTCGCTAAGCCGAGGTAAATTACTGAAAAATTGAAAGCTGGCTCATATTGTAGCGTCGCGTCGAGTCGAAATTGACTATGAACACCGCTAGAGAGAATACACGTGCCAAATAAATCCATAAAATCCCCCGGAAGCGAAATATCAGAAGGCAGTTAGTGGACCAAGTCGAGATATATTTGCTGGCGATCTCGTGGTATCAAAAGAATATCGAGATCGTGCCAGGATACAAACTTGGTTACAGGGCGTAACCGAATTTGCGCGAGATCACAATCAAAGTGTAAGAATAATAATGGAAGCATAATATAGCTGTCATTACCACAGTTAAACAAAGAGCACATTAAACAGGCACAGGTACAAATGGTTATGATAATAATTGTTTTCAATAAACCAATCGTGTTCTCGTGATAAAAGTGAGTCACTACAATATCATACCAATTTTCAAAGAAGGTCGATTTGGCAAACATCTCTCTACACCTTCAAAAGTTGTGCAGTCTTTGATATGTAGCGGTCTACGTGACCATCTACTACCTATATACTTCTCACCCCGTCACGGTTTTAGAAAAGGTCACTCGTGTATGATCAACCTACTGACTGCAGTGGACAGGTGGACAGCCATCCTTGATCTCAAGGAGAAGGTAGATGTCACAAATGTTGACTTCTCAAAAGCTTTGATAGAGTCTGTAGAATCCAAACTACGGTTTGGATGTTGAAGAATAGCCGATAGAGGATGTTAGACACGCGCCCTTTCCCGTCGAAATCAGAACAAGTAATCGGGTAACTAGCGGTTCTATAATTCATAATAAATTTAATGTAAATCATTACCTAAACAAATATTATCACCCGGCTATTCAACCAATGATTGTTCAATCAATTAAATCTAAATTACAATAAATAAAGAAGTTGATAGAAGATGAGGAAAAATTACCAATCACAACAAATCAACGTTATTCTATCCTGGCTGGATAGATCACACACAACAGGAGGAACAAATCAATATGGCTACCACCAAGAACAAGTGTCAAGTAAAACAACGCAGATGCAGTTCAGGAAGAAACACAAACTTAGTGAATGCGTAATAAAAACAAAAACTATAACAAAAATACAAATATTAACAATTCAAATGTAATCAAAATACAACAATGTACAACTAATGCGATCAATAGGAATAAAGTACAAGTATATACATGGAGGGATTTTCACCAACACATAAAACCTTCAAAATGGATCTTACACCGGCCCCCAAAATCCCTCCATACCACACAAGCTACCTTGACGCC